GATTTGAAAGTTTCTGTTGATTAACCCCCGCCCCAACACAAACACACAACTTCAGCTCTTAATGTGTGGTTATGAGTTAACATACCCAAACATAACAATGCACAATCTTCTCCACTCTTTCTCAAATGCACTTACTCTAGTATACAGCAGCTATCAAGCCAAGACGCTCTTTTTCCAGATACAGATACAAAGTACATGCAGATAGGAGGCCAGAACATAACCATAATGATACACTGCAGGGGATTTCTTTTCTGCTGTATAGCCTACTATATATTGACCTCTTGTAAAAGAAAACTGCCCAACTATTAATATCTTAGTTGAATTTGAAACCACAGACATTTTCCCACAAAAATTGCAAGTAAACTATATTTGAGGCACATAATGCAATCTTCAGCCCAAGCAACGCAGAGCAATACATACACACACACAAACACACATGCGTGCACATGCTCCATGCTTCTGAGGAAGGCAAAAAGCTCAGAACAAGAACAGAAAAATGCTGCCTAAGGTGAATATCCCCCTCCTCCCCAAAAAACACAACAAATTAAAAAAGACAAACACAAAAGAACAAAAGCAAGAAAAGAAACGACAATCAAGCATATGTCCTGCCACAGGAACAGGAAAACACAGAATGCCCTAGAACAACCTACTTCTCATTTGTCACGGTCACAGAGAATCAAATGAGCAAACATGCCAGCATACACATGTATAAACATGTCCTAGCTTAGGACAAAAGTACAAGAAAAAATGCAGACAAAGTATATATTATAATTGAGTCCACAGTACGAAGAAGTGGAGCGCACAGAAGACGGGGAGAACGCCACGAGCGCAACATTGACAGGATGAGGAAGACAAAAGACTTTGCACCACGTCACTGACAGACTCACAGTAGCCTCTCAGCTCAAAAGCCTGCAAAACGAAGGCCCCAGACACAAGTGACAAACCATCCAGCCCTGAACACCCCCCCCCCCCAACTTCTCCTAGAATTGTAATACATTTTATAAACCTGTCTACTCAGTCTGACCATTTCCGGAATGGGCAGCTTTAATCCTGCCTGTCAAGGTCAACAAGAGTTATTACATGAAATGCTTTCATAAAGAACAAAAAAACCTCCTTTTCCCGAACAAAGATAATGTGTTCTGTGGTTAGACTTTAATCTCATTTGACAAAGAAAAGATGATCAATCCCGGTCAGACTTTGAAGTTTTTCCCTTAGTTCTCACTTCAGGATGTTCCCCGATACCCATCAAGAAAGACCTCAACATTTATTTCAAAGACTTTATTGATATCTTTTTGATACATTTAGATATCTCAACAAAATGAAAACTGTTTGTGTCTAAGACCAGCGAGAAGGAGCCTGGTGTCAAAAACTTGTGTATCACATTTATGTAATGCTTCTATAAAAAAAATCCTACAGCCGTCCACACAAAATGAAAGCTACACAAAAAAAAACCTGTCACAGCGGGGTTGCCGCTACGCCTTACAAGAATAAGAACTACTTTTCCAAACCACACAACAAATACAATTTTGGCCATTCAGAACACGGCAAATTCTGAGATTGGCGTTTTACAGCATTAACGAACTTTAAAATAGGCAAGTAAAGGGACTTAAGTTAGTCCTTTGCTTCCATTTGTGACCTTTAGCTGTCTGAGCCTTGTCTCTCACTTTGATGAACCCCATCCCCACAACACCAGAGGTAGATCATTGGAAAACTTGAATGTGCAATAAGGAAAAAGATTAAATCTTTCACAGTATGATTTGTTGCAAATATTTTACCCTCTATTGACACAACTTAGAACCTTTTGGAGAACTACAGCACGAATGACGCCGTTTGCCAGGGCAAACCAGAGCTGAGAGAGTACATATCTCCACAACAAGGGACCTAAAATGCCGTTTAAGAGGAACACCAAGAGCTGGACCGTAACACAACTCCCAGTGCTGAAAAAGTGGCAGCCACTACGTACCCTGTCACTAAATCATCAACCTAATAGTGGACAGCAGACGTGCACAACAGACCCATCCTACTTCTGTACTAAACCCCTATCCTTTCTGTCAATCTCTCTTGCTTTTGCCCCGTCACTGAAGGAGCACTGTTGAGTCCACGCAACTCTCTGTATCCCAAACAACAAGAACAACAACACGGCATCACATTCGTAAACCCAGAGCACACGGCAGAGGAGAACACATCTCCACGGAGCCGGAGTTGACGCGGCACGTCAGGACGCACGGTTATCACACATACATGTCAGGATCACTACATCACAAACTCACAGGAGGAAATAAGAATTGCAATGCCACTTCATTGACAAAAACCAACAAGAAAACCCCCCAAAACAAAACAAAACAAACCCCATCCAAACAAACATCACAAAACTACCCGAACAATAGGCTTGGTAACATTTCACTACAGGCTTAAACTACTACACTATCAGTCTACAAACACAGCCTACACACAAGTGCACCTCTTCTGTCCTCCAGTAAAACTATACAGGGTTGGGAGAAGGGGGGAAGAAAGCAGAAACTGTGAGGTGGCAAGATACTTTTGGTACAACTTTTTTCTTATATACCATATGCTTCAAATTTATAGACTTAAGATTCTAAATTCATAGTAGTCAAAACACGGACCTTCCCATTAAATAAGAAGCAAAATTACATATCTCATATCTACTAAGTGGGTAAAAAGCTCCTAAAAACTTATAACGCCACACCTTGACTTGCTGATTAGTCCTCCTTCAATGGTTCAAACTCCCTGAAACTCCAGCACAAGATTTTTCTAAAATGTAAGAAACAGACTAAAAAAAGAACCGGAGGGCTTATCTCACGACCTGTTGGATGGCTAAAACATCTGGTATCATCAGCATTTGAAGAGGGGGAGGGGTGACCCGAAACCCAAAGCAAAGTCTTTCTATACAAACATACAAACAGGTAGCACATCAAACCGCAGTAAACAAACTATTGTACAGCTTACCCGAAAATAAAAACAAGGTGAATAAATAACACAAAAGGGGAGTCATCATGCAAAAAAAAAGGTGTATCTTACACTTTGTAAAACCTGGAAACACAGAACGACGACAACAACAACAGCAAGACCAGCCACACTAACGAGAGAGAAAATTGTAAAAGAGCTCTCCCGAGGCAGCAAGGAGACACCTCAGGATATATATAGAAAAAATTGCACTGATATTATGAAATATTGGCACGCCCAGAATAAATACAAGTATCAACATGTCATCAGTATTCACTCGCTCACTCACATTTTTCTAAGCATTCCTAAGATAGACCCGACTTTCTTGTGCACGCACACACACATACACACACACACATCCAAAGCTGTCCTCTTCCTGAACAAGGCTTCACCAGATAAACCGTCAGACACACCACAGACGTCTGCGAAGTACAGTAAACTCTTAAAACATGACGACCACTTCCTCGTTACCATAATGCTTCTTTAAGCTACCATCTTCGGCAAGGAATTAAGCGGTGATAGTGCCTATAAATTACAATTCAGACTGCAAACTGGTCTTAGATGGACAACACAGCACAATTTCTCAATTCATTTTCACTGCGTCAGATAAAATAAAAATTGGGACATGCAGACAAATCTTCTTCAACATTGAGACTGTACAACCAGCAATACAAATCTACGTGCTATTATTGAGAACCTCTATCTTCGCTACCATGTCAATATCAGTTCCACAGAACTGGGAGAAAAAAATATGGAGGACTGCCTTATGACCATTATTATTCGGGTGAGCACCCAATCTTATTAAGTAGAATACCATAATCTAAGCAAAAGAAAGTACTTGGTGGTAACATTTATGAGCCAAGGCAAACCACGGCAACAGGGAGGTGAAATATGCATCATCAAAATATGTCAAACACATCTTACTAAATACTGTTAACAAAAAAAGTCTCAACAGTGTAAAATATATTTATATTCCTCCAATACAAACAACTGTTTCTTTTGTCGACGAGTTGAATTCTTATTACTATGAGGTGTGAGTACATACCATCTAGGTGAGGTAACGTAATGAAAATGTTTACATTGATGACAAATCATGTAAGGGAGAGATATCTTTAGTGTACATTTCAAAAGATCAGACTTTATCAATACACGCCAGCTGATTCCTACAACTATTGTTACGGTAAGAGAGCAGTCGGAATTACCAAGGGGTTGACAAATGTTGAAACTCTTTTTAATAAGTATCTGCTTCACAAACAAAGAAAAATCCATCTACACTCTTTTTTCCCCTTGTATGATTACATTTTTTTTTAATGCACAAGAAAAAGAAATTCTTAGTGAATACAAATATACACTGGTTAATTCGTTAAAAAAACCAAACCCCAACCCAAAACCCCAGACTCCCCTATGCTGCAACCCTGCTGCCAATATTCTACCTCTTTCCCCTCACACGAACACATCTAAGTCACTTCAGCTTCTGTATTCTGGTGCGGTGATATCTTTTACTATCATACAGCTCAAGCTCAGGGTTAAAAACACGACGAATGTCACTCAACACAAGCACACATGCCATGACATCATACACAACCCTCACAGGGGCACCCAGGGCCCATAAAGCTCTGATCTCAAAGGCAGTTTATCAAATACAAAATGGCTTATCATGGCCGAGACAATATTTCCAACAAAAAAAAAAAAAAGCGTCTTTACAACCCCCCACTTTTCCACAGTAGTATATATAATAAAAGGGGCCCCCCCCCCCCCCCCCCCAACTCTAGACATGACAACCTGGGTCAGCGAGAACAAAATAACACACCTGAGATAAGACTACACGTGGTGGGGAGAAAACACAAGGACAGCCTGCATCTTGTTCCTAAACCTGAAATTTACAAAAAAGAGAAACTAGGGCACCACATGCTTGCGAGTTCTGTGGAAAGACAACTGAGGAAACCACTCATTGTAACTAAAAAGACGAATTTTCCTTCATGCTAGAGAGTCATCTTTTGAACTGATAGTACACTTCATGTATATACATATTTCTTGGTCTTCGATCACACTCAGTATTTTTCTTTTTCCTTTTTTGGTATACATATGGCTACAGTCTTGCCCCTGAATCAGTCTATCGATCTACTCAAATGTCAATTTTTTTTTCTTTCTGCACGAGCTGAACAAACTTCCCCTCTCAGATAAGTTCTTTCTAATCAGCTAAGCGCAAAAAACAGAATTAGGCTCTCCTCAGCCCACTCCTCCCATCCACCAGTTACCTGTCTCCATCGGGACATACACACTGATATGTCCAGACACAAATCTTCAATATATACACAAAACAATTATGCATGCAGCACACATCATGAGATAACGGTCAGAAGACCAGTACACGTTTTGAGATTAAAATACCTAGGAAGAGTAGTGAAGATGTGATGGTAAAAGAGGAGCTGGAGTGTGGTGGGGGGTACAAGACTGAGAGGTCTTTGCAGGTGGGGCTTTACAGATAACCAAAGGGAAGGAAGTGGATGTCCGATTTTCTTTGCGTCTTTTTGTCTGCAGCTCCAGTCATAAGTATCACTTGTCAATCCTCCACAATCTAAGGCGCTTTACCAAAGGCTCTAGTTAGAAGAGGATAGACTAATAGTGAAATCAAGAACTTGGGCATCTCGAAGCTTTCATAGATTTTGTGTAATTGAGCCATTTCACATTCCCAACAAGACATGTTCATTGATGAGAATCTTAACACATTCAGGGAGGCTGCAGTCTTTCATGTCTCCAACCATTTCTCTTGCTGGTGATTATAGCTTACATTGTTCTTTTTAAACGCTTTATCTTCCATAAATGGTGACTTCTAACCTCCTGTTCACCCATCACTGACCTCTAACCTTTGGTGTCCCACCAGCCCAAGCATACCCCACAGGTGGAGTCACTAACGTTACAAACTCTCTGATGACATGTACAACAAACAAGTGGATTTCTCTCCTTACAGAAACATGTACACATGTGTACAATCCATTGCAACCAACATGTACACAGTGCATTCAATGCAATCACCCTGTACATACAATTTAATACAGTTGAAACTCACGTCTCAAAAATAACAATCAAGCATCCTTCCTGTTTCCTCAGTCATACATTTCAGTGATATGGTACGCTCCTCATAAGAATACATATGCACAATAAAAGCACTACCAACACACACGCTTACACTTGGCGTATGAGCTGGCACATATGAACACACACCCACTCACAGATACCCAAACAATATATATACACACTCGCACACACACACACCTGAATCATACATACATTCTCCCACACATCTGAGCCACACGCACATGCACACATCCACACAGACACCATGCTCAGATGACACTGGCAGGCAACTTGTCAAACACATCGTTCTTGCCCTGCTGAACACTGCCGCGTCGCCGTGGTAACGTTGGGTGCTCAGGACAGCCGCTCGTCGTCAGCAGCTCGGTGCACTCTGAAGAGCCTGAACTCCGCGCATACCACAGCGCGTTGCGACCCTCGTGATCCACCACTTTGACATTGGCATTGTACTGGGGACAGACCAGACCAGACTATCAACAATTTGTTTATGGTGCCACGACAGGCGTGAGGAATTTCAAGATCAGCCCTCATCAAATCAAAATGTTTTCTTCATATCTATGCTGCTATACTCTAAGGTAACTGGAAGGAATAAGTCAAACATTTTTGGGGTTTAAAACATTGCTGAGGTCAATCTGTGGATCTCGAATAAAAATCAGGAGTCAAACTGCACTGCAAATAGTGGAAAAGTACAATGGGTTAACATTTGCATCTTCTCTCATCCTCTAAATCAGAAAGATTTATTTTCATCAATTAAAAAAAAATGTTAAGAAATCAGTTGCATCATTAGAGAATAACACCATCTATATGCTGTATATGCACTCATAACTTCAAATCTGCAGTGCTTTATTTAAACTCTTCATCACTCCGCAAGTTCATAATGAGAAAATTAATTTTTAATGTTTGAGATGCCCATAAAGTGACTAGATAAAAGGTGCTACTCAAGGCTTTTTGATAACTGTAAGCATTTAATCCCTCCGTAGCCTTATGATGTACATGGTACATTACGAAAATGCATAATTTTTTAGCTTTGAGCCATACCATCGACATAATGGAGTTTGACCAAATTTGTAGTTCCTGGCAGCCAACACGATGTTACATGTACATCATGCTAATCAACTGTTCTTAATTCTACTGAACTGAGATTTAGTCATAAGCACAGCACGGGTTCGTACAAGTATGCTAATATAGGTGTAATGCTAGCACATAGAAAAATACAGGTTTCTTCGAACCCATTATTTTGACCAGCGCTTGATTTCACTACGATGCTACACATTTATATCTGAACGTATGCAAGTACAAAACATGTGCAGGGTAACAACTGTGCAAAATACATACCCATAATAATAACTGAACAAAAACGACATTGCCCAGGGCTGCTGCAATGTGAAGGGCTGTCCGTCCGTCATCCTTGCTGTAGGGTGCGTTGATGTCCTCGGCCTCCGCGTGACCCAGGATGATGATGATGTTTCGGATATGTTCCCGGACCAAGGCATCGATCAGTTGCTGAAACACACCGCAACACATGATCACTATGATCTTGAAGGTTTTGACTTACAATATCTCAACTGACGAGTTTTGAGTTCGAGTAATGAGAAGCACATTGACACAATAACGGTCAGTTATATTTATTTACTGTTGAGTAAAGAGAAACATGTCTACTCGATAACTGTTATTTACATTAATTTGTTTGTTTGAGTAAAGAGAAGCACACTGACATCATTATGGCCTATTAAAGCAAGGAAAAAGCAAGACAGACAAAAAGGAAGAACAGAGGAATTTAAAAAAAAGTAGGACTTAATATGGCACCCTCCAACCACCCGCATGACTACAATGACTTTAGGTTTAGTCTTTAAAAAACACCAACTCATTAAGGGCAGGGAAAATACAAAACAACATCTGAAAGAAGGAAAGGAAGACAAACTAGAGGTACCCCCCAACTACCAGTATGACAACCACAGTTTTGAGGGTTTTAATATCCTTTCCTGAGGATCCGCTTTCACTTTGACTTTATTTACTTTGAGGAAAGATAAGTCTATTGATACAATAACAGGTTTGAGTGTTAAATACACATTCCAATTAATTTAGAGACCCTGAACAGATGGGTGGCAGTAAAAGACCAGGATAATAAAGTTTTTTTTGAGAGCATCCGAGAAGATAAATGATGGTTAACTAAGTAAGATTGCTGATGTTTGTTTCAGATTTGGCTCTTCAAGAGGAACCCACTTTTTCATAGGATCCGATTCTACTTCGATTTAGTTTGGTTTGTGGAAAGAGTAATAAATCGACATAATAACAGTCATTTTTTAGCTAGGAAAAAGCAAGACTAATATATACCAAAATGGGACAGGGAGGGTAGAGAAGGAAGACACATCAGTTTAACTCCTAAGTGCAGACCACGATCTTCCGCCTACGAACAGAACATATACAGCTCAACTTCCACTTGAACAGAACAAAGCCAGAACTTTCTCCTATATGTCCCTTGTGTGACAATACATATGAGACTGGATCATCACCAGTTTCACTACACAGCCCTAAATGACGTCAGAACTACCTTTCTCCCTCCGAGACCTAACATTGACAACACACTCTATGGAACATAATAGCAACTGCAGCAAACCTGCACATACCACTACATGGCATTGGAAAGAAAGGCGAGAGCCCAGCTGTTGCTGGATCGGTAACAACAACAAAAACTCCTAAAGAGAGGAAAAAAACAAAAAAAAACAAAAAAAAGGAAACATTTGTAAACCTCAACAAAAGTATTGAAAAGACAAATAGAAAACAGTCAATGCTGAGTGGGAGGTGGCAGGTGATATATTGGGTCTGTGCAAGTAAAAGACAAAACTCACCTGATTGACTGGAATATCTATGTATGGTAAGGGTGGTAAAAATTCTTTTCCTTCATACTTTGCCCGAATCCACTTTTCTTTTTCCTCCCTGCAAAGAAATATAAGGTAGAAGACAGAACCAAACATTACTACAGATGAACAACAGCTTTTGAATAGAACAAACATACTACTCCAGTCAAAAAATAGGAATTTGGTAGTTTCTATATCACAGGAAATTGAGCAAAGTGAAAAAAATTATAACTTTTATCATTATTATATAAAAAAAACTTAGTGTAGAGAAAACTGATATAAAATTATAATGACAATACTTTGAAGCCACACTAACATCTTTTCAAGATATGCATCAAATCATAATATTTAATTAAATATGCGTCTAGCTTTAATTTTCTCGGTAGAAATCTGTTCACGGACGAGGTATCAAGCCACACTAAAACACGCTCAAAGCTATAATGGGCTCCATCACATTGAAAATGTTCTATATGTTAGATATCACATCACGCAAGTACAAGTTTATATTCAAAGTTGCGGATAAGATTTGTTTATCAAAAAGACAAGAAAAAAATAACACTGAAGTCTTAGAACATAAAAAATAAAATTCAGACGATGACAACATTTCCTGTATGGTACTTGTGGCTTCCCACTTACCTTGCAGTGCTAGAGGCAGGCTTAGGCCGGCCTTTGGTATTGGCCTCCCACACACTGTTCACTGTAGCATTGCCCACTGAGACCATGACCTTCACAATGTCGTTGCTGGAGAAAAAAACCCATTGTCAATATAATGCCTTCACTGGAGAAATACAAGGCAAAAAAAAAAAAAAAAAAGCAGAGGTAGACACAGAAGAACTTATGTAGAGAGCCTGAACAGATGGCGGACATTCAAAGGCCAGAACAACATAGGTTTTTTTTGAGAGAATGCGAGCAGGGAAATGAGAGTGAGAGGCAAACCGTGACAGCTGACGTTTGTTTTTGAGCTGGCATATGAGGAAGAATCGGGCAATCAGTAAGACAGAGTCTTTTGGTTCTTATTTATTAATGTATGTACTTTACACCCCCATCAACACAATTAAGACCATTTGGCTGGTGGGCTTTGACCCTGCCTGTTTGGGCCAGCCTGGGTTGAGAAGGAAACGAGGTCCTAGCAGGAAGATCGAGATACTGGATCAAAATTCTCATGAGAACCAAACTCGGTTCTTTTGTAAGCGACGTCAAATCAAAGCTCTTAACTGCTACATCAGACACTGGTATATGAGAGAGTTTATGCCTTCAAACAAAGAGAGGATCAACAGTGAGAAGTTTGTTTGTTTGAGCAAGAGGAAGTAATTCAATACTATAATATTGTTTCAGAGCTGGGAAAAGTAAAACGGACAGAAATAATAGAGAGAAAGAAAAGAAGTAGAATCTACCAGTGGTGTCCTCGAACAACCCACAAAATGACACATGACATTACCAAATCTGTGGAGAGGTCATAAAAGGCAAGTCACTTTGATAATTACCCCATTTTGCAAGGAATAATTAGGAATAAAAGTAGCAAAAAAGAAAGAAAAAGCACACAACATCATAGCCCTCAAGAAGTACCTACAAAATGATCAAACCAATATATCAATTGCTTAGAATAAGCCTCCACCATACGCCATAAAGAAAAGTGACATACAGTGGAGTCTTACACTGAGCCGTCGCTGTAATATGTCTTAAAAGTAAAAAAAAAAGGGCGCACTTGCAAACAGACTCACTCCCAACAAATTTTAATGTCAATCATATCTTTATACCACCTGTTTTTTAACAAACGTTTTACTAAGAGTTTTTAGTTTAAGTAAGTGTTTTATGGCACTTGCAACACAATAAGGTCATATAATTGCCGAAGATTAGAGGTGTCACAAAGGAGTAACGAACACAAAAAAGAAGGTGGGGAGATAAAGACGATAGACATTTGATAGGAAAGAAGAAGCAAACCATACCAGAGCACCCGCCAACCACCCACTACAATGGGGTCTTACACTGAGCCGTCGCTGTAATATGTCTTAAAAGTAAAAAAAGGGCGCACTTACAAACAGACTCACTCCCAACAAATTATAATATCACTCATATCTTTATACCACCTGTTTAAAAAAAAAAAGTTTTAGTGAGATTTTTATGGCATTTGTAACACAATTAGGTAACAAATGTCCCTGAGATTAGAGAGTTACTTGTACAAAAAAGGAGGAGCATTAAGGATGATAGATGTTTGATAGGAAAGAAGGAGCAAACCACACTAGAGCACCCACGAACTACTCACAAACCACCCGGCTAGGGCTTTCTCGTTCCAGACCCAACACACAGAAACTCTTTCTCCGTAATGTGGAAATAAAAACCGGTCAAAACATCGTCATTCAACTTACGGCCATTCATCGAGATCAAGGGACCTAACTCTGGATATGTGAGTGCCCAAGTTGCGGTGGATTCCCGAGCACTCGATACACACCAAGGCACCCAGATTAATACTGGCCCAGTCCGGAGCTGTGGAGAGCAAAGAGAGAAGCATATCAGACGATTGATCGCAAATGTACGCACTCATGAACACATGGAAGACAACTTGATTCAGTCCTGTAAAGTTTTAGTATGAGTTTTATGGCACTTGCAACAAAGTAAGGTCACATAAGTGCTGAAGATAAGAGATGTCACAAGAGAGAAACAAACACGAAAAAGGAGGAGAGATCAGGATAATGGACGTTTGATAGGAAAAAAGGAGCAAACCAAATCAGAGCACCCACCAATCACCCACTAAGATAATTTAGGAGGTGGGTTAATCAGATTTTGCTTATCGCTCATTCTGTGTTTAAAAAATGGCTGTAACTTCAAAGGAAAAAACACCCAACCAAACAAAAACAGATCCCCCCTCTCTCCCTCAAAACAAGACGTATGACTCACTTGGGGTTCCGCAATCAGCACACATGTTGTTGCCCGGTGTGTTCCGGATTGCTTGGAGGCCGGCAGGGTCAGAGTTGGTTTGTTTCTGAGGAATGTCAAATACAACAACGTTAAACAAATCAGGTGCTCATTTCACTTCAACATGAAGAGTTAAGCATTCAAGGCAACATAAAAATAAGCCCATGCTCAATTCATCATTAACAGTTTGAAGTTGACTCATTTTCTTAAAAATTCAATGTTCATCTCAATTAGACTTAAATGAATACATGAACATTTCATATATTCACTTCAATATTTGAAAATTTGATTTTCATGTCAACATTTGAAAATCGGGTTACACACAACATCATTCGATACTTTAGTTATCTTTCAGCAGAGGTCTTTCAATGCCCATAGAAGAGAGAGAGAGAGAGAGAGAGAGAGAGAGAGAGAGAGAGAGAGAGAGAGAGAGAGAGAGAGAGAGAGAGAGGGGGGGGGAGAGGAGAGAAAGAGAGGAGAGAGAAAGATAGAGAGAGAGAGAGAGAGAGAGAGAGAGAGAGAGAGAGAGAGAGAGAGAGAGGAGAGAAAGAGAGAGAGAGAGAGAGAGAGAGAGTGAGAGAGAGAGAGAGTGAGAGAGAGAGGAGAGAAAGAGATAGAGAGTGAGAGAGAGAAAGACACAGAGAGAGAGAAAGACAGAGAGGAGAGAGAGGAGAGAAAGAGAGAGAGAGGGGAGGGAGGGACGGAGGGGGAGACAGAGAGAGAGAGAGAGTGAGAGAGAGAGAGAGGGAGAGAGAGAGAGAGAGAGAGAGAGAGAGAGAGAGAGAGAGAGAGAGAGAGAGAGAGTGAGTGAGTGAGAGAGAGAGAAGGAGAGAGAAAGAGACAGGCAGACAGACAGACAGACAGACTAGAGGTGAGAGATAGAAAGCAATAATAAATACTCACTTTATTTTTACCAGCATCATTAGCTTGAAGACTAGAAAGAATTTGCTGCTCTATTGCATCCACCCATCCATCTCTGTCCTGGAACAGAAAATTAAAAACATGAGAGCCCCCATTCATAAAAAACTATAAAAATGTAATAACGATTTAAAAGAGCTACTGCACTTGCAACACAAATACACCATCATAAGTGCCGAAGTTTACACTTGCCACTGTGACTCAAATTTTATCGTGAAGATCAATGATCATGACATTACATTCAGTTTATTTTTCTTTTACATTCTGTGCTAGCGTGTGCGTGTGAGAGAGAGAGAGTGAGAGAGAGAGAGAGAGAGAGAGAGAGAGAGATTGTGTGTGTGTGTGTGTGTGTGAGAGAGTGAGAGAGAGAGAGATAGATTGCGTGTGTGTGTGTGAGAGAGAGAGAAGAGAGAGAGAAAGAGAAAGAGAGAGAGAAGAAAGAGAGAGAGAGAGAGAAGAAAGAGAGAGAGAGAGAGAGAGTGTGTGTCTGTGTGTGTGTGTGTGTATGTCTCTCTCTCTCTGTGTGTGCGCGCGCGCACATAGGAGGTGAAACATCAAACCAATGTGCTAGAGTCTGGACAAAAAGACTGGTCTTACCATATACTGTTCTATGCTTCCGTCATATGTGAAGGCCATGACAGAAACAACTCAGAAATAAAATCAGAAACAATCATAACCATAACCATTAATGTTTCATTTATAGAGGCACCAGTCATCGATCCTCAGACGCTGCTGTTCAAGTCTTTTTCCCCCCTCTGTCTTTCAATTCAGTGATCAAAACAACAAGCAGACAGACAGGAAAACGAACAAACATACCTCTCCACTTTGAGCTTCAAAGTGCCACTGTTTGTTCTCCAGGGAGACAATCACAAACTCATAGCCATCAGAGTCTGGACAAAGGAAGGGAAAACATCTTTTAGATTAGCTGAGCGGGCATTAAGTTTTCCAGTCATCTTGATGACAAACTTTGAAAAGGAGGATATAAAATGGGGTCTTTTCTGATCAAGATATGTCCATATACCCAAGAAAGGATGTATATGAATGTGTGTATTTGCTTGCGGGAGAAAAAAGAGAAGTCAGGAGAAGGAGATGATGGGGGAAGGGGTGGATGAATGAGTTGTAGATGAAACAAAGGGATATTGCAACCAGTAAATCCACCAGTCTCCATTTTTGGTTCAAGAAAGAATTTGAATGATTACTCGAGCAAAAACATACACACACACAAACAAACAACTTGACAATCAAAGACACACACAAACGCATACACATATACTCAATAATACAAAAACATCAACACATTCACAAACACACAAAACCCTTACGCATTCAAAACTTAAACTAACACAACACACACATACATCCTAACAGACACGCACTCTAAAGCAGAGACACACAGTAACTCTGTTGTGGATAGGCACTAATCCATACTCACACACACACACACTCATAAACACTCTCACGAAAAACATTTAGCCACTGACCGTCCCCGTCGCCAGGGTTGGAGTTCTTGACCCCTCCACTCTTGGCCCTGCGGTGTCTCTTCTTCACATTGGGCGTGTCCCGGCTAGAGCTGTTGATGCCTAGTTTGGGCAGCATCGGGGAGCGTTCCGGTCGGGTGCGCGGTTGGTCGGGAATACCTGAAAACACAGACCAAACATAAAAAATGTAAATACTTGAACTAGGCCAAGTGCGCGGTGGGTCGGGAATACCTGATGTTTTCAGTTTTAGTAAAAGTTTTACGGCTTTTGCAACACATTAGGTCATATAAGTGCCGAAAATTAGATGCGTTACAAGAGAGTAACAAACATAAAAAAGAAGGAAGAGGGATTAAAAATGATAGATGTATGATAGGAGAAAAGGAGCATACCACACCAGAGCACCCACAAAATACCTGAAAACACAACAAACAAAAAATTTAAGTACTCGTATTACAATAATTGTATTTGACTAAAGAGACACTTGAGCTTGAGTAAAGAGATGTTAGTTTGAGTAATGAGAAAACATGGACGCAATAGCAATCATTTAGAGCAGGGAAAAAGCAAGGTAAATCGATAGAAACAACAAAGGGAAAGAAAGGAAGCAGGACCTACCAGAGGCGCTTTTCAACCAACTGCGGAGTTAAGAAAAGCCGATCTATATAATAATGGTCTTTTAGTTCAGGAAAGGAGCAAGACCAAAAAGACAGAAGCAAAGGAAAAGGACAAGAAGAAGGACCTATCCGCGGCATCTTACACCCAATCAGGAACATATGAAATAATACCATTAAAAATTTCACAACCTTCATTACATACCACATCTCATAGTCACAACCTGAGAGTAACATTCTTCGAACAGTTCATTATATAACAAGCTTCTAACATTAAGGTTGAAGGAGAAGGAAGGTGCTCAACACAATAGTACCAGTTTGAGAGCAAGGTCCTTTGTGGTTTTGTGCTGTACTAAACATCTTACTCTACACAATACGTTATGTTGAAGGCAGAGCACTAGTAAGTATGTGGGTTTAAGTGGATTTAACACTGTTTTCTGGGTTTTTAAGACTATTTTTGAGACTGGACCTCTGAATTCACACTCGATCTCCAAAAGGACCGAGCCTTAAAAACCCAACAAAACAACCAGATTTAAAAAATGCCTGGATGGGGGTTCTTCAAAGGCTGCCAGCTCCATTGAGCATGATACCAACTGAGCAAATGGAGCACCCACGTGCACCCGAGTCAATAGTTGGATTTAAAAGAAAAGGAATGGGAAAAAAAAAGGAATGAGAATTCGATAAATAAATAACATGCAAATAGCCTTGAGCATCCTCAGACCACAAACTAAAGCATTTTTAAAACAATTGTAAAGGCCCTGTAATGAACTGTTTAACAAGAGAAAGCTTGTCTTCATTTTTTACAGGGCTAGCGCATTATCTTCTTCTGACAGGGAACTCTTCAATGTTTTAGATACATTTAGAACATGCTGAGGGTTGAAGGTACAAATTCATGCTTGATACAAAACACAGAAAGTGGAGAGGGAAAATATATTTATAGTTCAAAATACTTAATTGTGAGGTCATATTAACAACTATTGGAATCCAACTATAACTTTCTAAAATAACTGTCTGTTTGAGCTAACAGAAACACACTGACACATTAACACTCATTCCAAATACACAGAAAAAGCTTAAAGACAGAAACAAAAGAGGGTGGAAAAGTAGGACCGTCAAAACAGCTACATACAATTCAACCATCAAGACATGAACTTTGTTTTCACTCGATAAAATTAATAACAGCAACTTCATGAGGAATACTCCTGGACATAAAGGATGGATTCCAAGAACAAAAACACGGTCAACAGTAAAAGTGATGAAATCAAAAGGGAATTGGGAAAACTGAACAGTGTTATTTCCAGAAACTCGACTTCGAGAGCATCATTTCCCCAATCTTTGTCTTCACAGATAAAAAGTTTTATGGTGTCTGTGAAAATTCCACGATTAATTGTCAATGTTTTATGCCCCTATTGACAAAGTTTAAGACATTTTAAGAGGCAATAAAACTAAAACCCCTGAGACGATGACGTTCACATAAAAGTTGGATAAAAGTATAAGTAAGGAATCTTTATAGAACATAAAATACATAATGTTTTAGGAATAAAATATATAAGTTCAGCAAATTAGAAATGTCAACATATTTAATGTGCAAATGCGATTGGCCTATACTGAGGACAAACTCAGTAGAGACGGAAGCATACTTGAGCATTGGGTCAGCGAGGGTTAACAAAATGTCCAGATAGGACAAGTGGGATAATGGTGCAGAGAGATTGGAAGATGTTGGTATCATATAGAGAGGCATTAAGTCCTACTGAGTCTCTGAAAACACCCTCGACCCTTCCGCTTTAATTTGGACACAAAAGTCCATACTGAGACGACATTTTACAATGACAGCGTCCAAACAATATAAATTTGCGAAACCAGCAAAACAAAATACTGCACTGAAAGTTATTTTCCAACTCTGTCTCTAGATAAAAAGTGTAAAAGCCTATCAAAAGGACCCAAATGTTTCCTTCTATAGCTTAATAGAAAGAAAAGTCAGAAAGGACCAAGACTACGTCTTTGTAGTTCTTACAAGAATTTGAATCTCTCTTTTTCCCCCCCTCAACACATACAATTTTAAGTGTAAGTATTGGAAATAAAAATTTTGTTTTGAAGCAAATGAAGCTATGAAATCTCAAAAACTGAAACCAACATCAATATTCTATATCTAGATCTAGTGTCTTCATATCTTGTCCAAAATGATCAGGTATTGTATTCATCCGCAAAAAAGGGCTGAAGATATTAAAAATTTTTTTTTAAGAACAGCATATCAAAAACAGCCCACTCTGTAGAGAACCACTGCAATCCCAACTTTAATCACTGATAATTGGGCTGGCGTTCAAACTAAATATTCAGTGCATTGGTCTATGTAAGGACGGATCTTTAGCCACACAAAGTTTTATGGCTCTGTCCTTACAACTTGGTTAGGAAAGTTGTATGTTTCCAGCAAAGCCAAGAATGTTCCGGAGTTGTTTAAGGGTCTGCAGGGGCAAGAATAGCTGTAAAGCGCATAAAGCTTGCGGTAGAGCATGGATATACGCTACATAAATGCTATAATTATTATTATCAAGCATTACATACAGATTTTGCTTCCACTCATTGGTCTTGGTAGTTATTAAAAAGATGGACAGTATAAAAATCGGTCACTAGCTAAGTTAAAAATGTTTTAAGTCATTGACAACTGTAACACACCTGTATACTTTGCAATTTTGCATCTTCAGTGGGTTTATCTGTTAAGCCTAAAGTGCATGGAATGTGACCACACCCAAGTGAGTTGTACATATCTCTCACTCAGTGCATCAAACATTGACTTGCTCTAAACATAGACACACACACACTCAAACCGAAAATACACATCTATGAACGTAAAGAGACAAGGTACAAAAAAGTTCCCCCAAGCATTCCTACATGAGCTGCTCATACACATAAACATAAGAGGAGGAGAAAAGAAAGAAAAGAGAAACATTTAAACACATACCCAAAGACCGTTGAGGGTGAAAATATCATATAAGCTTAAATATACTGGCAATCAAAAAAAAAAAGTACCACTTTTTTTAGTGTGAATATCTGACCCGCATACTTCTCACAACGTGGTCCTTCTTACATATGCCCTTTCTGTACTACAGGCCCTTCCATCAAACAGAGACAGCAAGCTAAATGATCTGCCTACAACTATTGCAAACCTCAGTAAAAAACAAACATTGTGCTACAGTGCAGAGCATCTCACTGCAATCTGTTTGGGATAAAAACAGCTGGTTACTTGGAAAAAAGAAAGGTCTCGATCAAAGAAGCAGGAAAAAAAGACCACATTTTTCAGAGGCCTGGCTACAAGCAAAGTGGAAGGAACGGTACCCATGTTGCAACCAGGCTACCCTGTACCCCTTCCTCACTAGTCATGAACGGGTTGTATAATTCAGATTCATAACTGGACAAAACCGCCCAAAACCCCATGTAGTCTAAATATGAAGTTCAGGATCAGCAACCCAGAGCAGTGTCTGTGCAGATGGAACATCTACTACAAGCCTGCTTATCTTTTCAATAACACGATTAACCCACGATATTCCAACCAGACAATGTGCCCTTGCACTTGCCTACCCATAAAAAAAAAAAAGAAACATAAGAGAAAGTCATTGTAAAGCATCCTTGGCCTTCCCCTTTCACCAGATATGAATCCAATTGAGCAACTAAGGGACAGGATAGACTATGTCGTTCAAGACACGAATCCCAGTTCCAGAACCATTTTTCAGCTGCAGCAGGCCCTCACCAACATTTTGCAGGCAAACTTGGGATCTCTATGTGTAGGAATGTACATAGAAAGCACACAGCGTGCTAGCATGTGACTTTTGGATTTTATCCATTGTCAAATTTCAGTCATAAAAGAGTTTTTATTGAAAAATAATCCTTTCACTTTCACCTCGATTTATCCATCAAATACGTCATAATTCAATTTTGAGAGAATGAACATTTTTCTACAGGAAAGATGAAGTTATTGAACTTATACGGTGGTACCTTTTTTGATCAGCAGTTTATGAACCCATCCCACAAATCATACTCATAAGACAAATCAGAGTGAGTCTGGTCCAGTGCCTAACTCACAGTTATCACATTTTAATCACAGCAGTAACAATAGTTTCAAAAATAAAAATAACAATATCACTAACCTTAAAAGTTACAAGAATAGCATGAAAAAATCCACTACAACCAGAAGAAAAAAAAGTGTTCCCCAGCCGGGGGTTGTTAATTCATGAAAGATATAATGAGAAGGGCCAGTTCACCAGAGGTTATACAGGTCAAAACCCAAAGGTTTATACGCCAGGTGCTTGGGGTTACAAGCCAGGAACCCAAGGTTAAAGGTGCAGGCGGGTCAAATGCCATGGGATACAGTTCAGGACCCAAAAGTCGAAGGCCAGATGCTGTAGGTTACAGGTCATACATAAACCCAAAAGTTAAAAGTGCAGGTCAAATGCCATGGGTTATGAGCCAGATGCCATGGGTTACAGGTCATAACTCAAAGGTTAAAGGGCAAATACTGTGGGCAGGTTAAAAGTTGGGTAGGTGGCGGAGTTCTCTTACCACAAGACCAGAGCGGCCCGGAGGGAGTTCCACAAGGGACACACATAAAGCCGTGCCACAGCCGCAGGGAGCAGGCAAGGGACACCACCACGATGGCACAATACAAACAAGAAACAGTTCTCTTTTTAGTTTTAGTAAGAGTTTTACGGTACTTGAAACACAAATAGGTCAAATGAGGGCCAAAGATTAGAAGTATCACTACGGAGTAACGTATAAAGAAAAGAAGGAGGAAAGATTAGAACGATAGATGTTTGATAGTAAAGAAGGAGCACACCATATCAGAGCTCCCATCATCCACCCGCGACAAGAAGCACATCAAAAACATGCATAAGAAGCACATCGACATAATATCTTTTCATTAAGCACAGATTAAAAAGTAACCCAAATAGACAGAAAAACAGAGGGAAAGAAAAGCAACAGTGTGCATTTTTGATTCATGGTAATAGTTCCTTCATGCCAAGACAGAAGCAGGACAGACGAACAGACAGAAGGATGGCAAAGAAAAAGCAGGCAAAACAGCCACAGGATGGAGCCCTCCCCCTGTATTTTAGACAGATGTCTCATCACTTCCTGATTGTATTTCTAAACAATGGTCATGCGTAAAAAATAAAATCCATAATGAGAGGAACAATCGAAAACAACACAAGTCTGCAATTTAGTCAAGTTATATTTTTGTCTGAAAGCCCTTGAAATCCACTTAAATTTACAGAGAAAAAACTACAAAACACTGCCTTGGCGCAAAATATGTACACATTCATTTTCTGGCATGCTGGAACACTGTTTTCCTTGAAAGCAGTAATTTCAGGCTTACAATTTGCAACTATTACCTTCGATACGATGAACTGCACAAGAGGCCACTACTACTTGTAAGTAAATATCTACATTACAGAATCAATGGTTCAATAAAAATTTCACCGGCTATAAAAAAATTGACCACTATATCACAGGTTTCTTTTCCCTGGGATAACTTCTGTCCCAACAATTGTTTACTTTCAGAACTGTAACAGAAAACGTCTCTACATCGACTTGCAGATTAAGTCAGATATTTAATAACAAACATGTGTTGACGACCATGGAAGAGAGAACATTGCGCCCTGTTAATCGTTTACGCACAGAGAAAAAACCATTTATGTCACAAATAGGCATTAAGTAATTTTCTTTCCTCCGAAAAAATAAAGCAGAAATTTAATGGCCTGACTTTACTTCGCTTTAGCATTAGTAGAGGTTTTACGGCGCTCTCAACTGCGTAAGGTCATATGAGCGCCAGAAGATTAGAGGTGTTACAAGAGAGTAACAAACATAAAAAAGATGAAGGGGAGATCAGGACGACAGATGTTTGATAGAAAACAAGAAGCAAACCACACCAGAGCACCCGCCAACCACCCACTGACTTTACTTCAACTGACCACTTTCGTAAACTTACAGATAAAAGAAAACCCACACTTAGTTTGCAAAACATTTTTATCGCTCTATACCATTCTGGCACTACAAAGGTTATGACAAACTTAAATTGAACATAAACAGGAGAAGAAACCATGAACCATGTGCATTGTCCGTCAAGCTTGCTTTACGATAAGTTATAAGTGAATGATGGTGACGACTGACAGAAAAATAAACAGTGTATCTGTAATGAACAGCAACCTCTGACAATATATCAGCCAAAGACGGGATCGACCTAAAACCTCTGCATACTCAAGCTCCCACATGCTTAGCCGGACATCCCATAAAATCAATCATTGGAAGGGAATTATCAGAATCAACATTTATTGACAAACTGAACTCAACTCAAAACCCAAGTAAGGTATGACCCATGACCTTTACGCTCCAAAGTGCATGTGTACATATGAAATACACCACCATAAGAGTTAATTTGTCCTCCCAACCCTTTTTGTTCCTTTTCAACTTGTACGATTAAAAAATAGAAAAATTACATCCACACATTATAGGCCATTCAAGGTTGGAAAATAACAAGAAAGATGAACTGAAATAAGAGTTGGTGAGAAAAGAAATATAACTCACAAGTGGTGCCCTCCAAACACCCAAACCCTCTTCGAGTTTCCAGGAGAAAAGCTTAAAATTCTTTAGTTTGGTTAAAAACGAACCCGCCCCCTAAAAAAAAACAACTGTCGCCACACTGCGGTCAATGTCGAGTCAGCATGAGAACGCTTAACATTTCACCCAGAGCCTATTAGTACGAAAGTAACACACCAAAACAAAGTAGAAAAAAAAGTAAACCACACCAGAGCACCCACCAACCACCCATGGGTAAAGAAGAGCAAATTTAACATGTTATATACAGGCAAGAACGATGCAGCCGTTCAGATTAATAAAAGTGGGAAAAAAACCAACAACCTAAGAAACCAGAATATTTCCACTTGACCACTGAAGCACAAAAATACAGCCACAGCAAGAGAGAACAATCTGCCCTACCATGCACAAAACAAGCACACCATACTTAAAAAAAAAAAAAAAAAAAAGAAGTAATGTCCAAACTTATTAGTACATAATACAAAGTACAAAAGACACACACCGAAAGACCCACCTGGTGTGATGGAAGAATTGGGGATGACCAGTGAATTGTCTATCTGGCCCTCTGAAAAACCAACATGAAAGTGGACCTTGAAAAATGATAATAAAAATAATCATTGATAGCACTTTTATAGCGCACAGTCCCGTTCAACAGCAAGCTCTATGCTAATTGACAAGGAACAGCAAAAGTTCTTATTCCAGCTGAATATGACCTCCTACGTACTTGGATGAAATTGAAATTCCCAGTGAGCTTACAGCATAGTACAGTGCTTCAACCAGCTGCAGCTGAAAAGTAAGGAAAATTCTGCAGGGGGTCTGGGGGCTGCGCATAGGCCCCCATCAGGGTCCAGGGACTTGAAATTTAGTGCTTTTAGAGGGTTGAAAATGGCATTTGGGAGCCTGTTTGAAGAGATTGCCTACAAACCATAACATTTATTTTTTCACCAACATTTTGTCCTGTTTGATTTCTTTACCAAGATCTACACAATATATTTCCATTGATGGCAATGTTTAAAAGCAGGTTCCCCTTCCATTGCTACTATAATTCAATTAATTTGGCATCGCACCATTGATAGAAGGCAAACCTGGGTATAATGAATAGATAGGTACCTTCACAATACAGTTACCCGGCGTATACCTTGATTTTCCTTAAACTGCACGTCTGAATGTCACATGTCACAACCTCGGAACACCACTTCGAATTATTCTTGATTTTAGTAGTTTTACGCTGGCTTTAGCTTAAATTTCTTCCATCGTGGCTCTTATCGCGTTCCCGTGCCATAAAATCTTCACATTGATCATTTGCCTAGATCTAGATCTAGACAAATTTATAAAAAAGGTTCTCTCTGACAGTAATTTTCTGTCTAAGATCACAAGTCAATTTACTTGATCAACGCACAGATTTTCCAGCCGTGGCAACAATCCGAAGATAGACAGACGGAATGAGTGAAAGATAGAAAGAAGGAAATTGGCACAAAAAGTTCGCCAGATTTGGATAAATCCACAGGTGAAAATGTACTTCCGACCAACCCGCAATGAATGCACGACGCATAGTGGAATAATGGCAAATTGCAGGAAATGCACAATCTGGCAAGTTTCTATAACATTAACTTATTGCCGAGAGAATTACCGTAAATATCCGGATCTTATACTAGTACTAGACGATGCGATGGTGAGTACAGATCTTTTGCTACGGAGTTTCGGTAGTCCTACGCTGTCGCAGCTTTTTACGGAGGGAGTTGATAACGATGGAGGAACAAGTACGGAAGTGGCAGAAAGTACGGATTTCCGTAAAATTAGGGAGAGTGGAAGCACTGACAGTACTGAAAGTTACTTTGAAGGTTTTCATCTACCCATATCTAGGAGTATACAATCAAACCTGCTCTAATGACCACCTGTCCAAGACAATCACCTGTCCAAACGATCACTTCCCTCTTTGCCCCTAAATCTTTTGCTACATTATAATGACACTGTCCTAAAGGACCACCGGTCTAAGATGACCACTTTTCTCCCGGACAATGGGTGGTCGTCATGAACAGGTTCCACTGTTCTTTTGCTAGAGTGTATGTGAGTCGGTCTGAGGAAATCAGGAATAAGTCGCTTCTGGGCCATTTTGAATTTTAGTGCTTTCTTCAAAGCTGGGATCTTTCTGAATATCATGCACTTAAAATGGTCCAATTATCTTTTCTAGAAGATGATATGTATTTTGAAGTGACAAAAAGTGGAAAAGTAAAAACTGAGAAAAACACATTCAAAGTTACATCATTATTGCTTTTTAATATCAGAATGCAAATGGACAATAAATTGGAAAAGATATTTTAAAGTCTGAAAATTTTTTTTTTACGTCTTAAATTTTTTTTTTTACAAGAAACAACTTTTGAATTATTTTCTAAAATGGTAGGGAAATCCCCTGGTACGTGCAATTAAAAATTGACCAAAATTGACCACACTGACTATTTTTGTGGATATCTCTTGGTTCAAGGATTAGCAACATATTCCTGGTTTCCTGAGAAAAGCTCACAGATTTCCGCACTATGGAAATTCTGGAAACAAAAAACACTAAACACAAAAGACAGCTGTCTTGTGTAATACAAACCCCTAACTGAAACCTGAATGGGTCTGATGCACTGACTCACCTATAGAGTTGTTCATCTCCCCGTTGGGAGCGCCGCTCGTGGACACAGCACGTGACCCGCGAGGTCGCTGACCGGGAATCTTGACCGTGGTCCGTACCAGGGGGATTTCTTTGGCATGACTGTCTTCCATGTAGTCCTGTGGGAACACAGTTCGCTATTTTGAATGCAGAAAAGTTCATTGACACTATAACAGAACTGGGTTGAAAGCATGGTAAATTGTCAGAAACCACATAAGGTGAGAAAAGACCTAGGACTAGGACCTACCAGTGCCACCTCCAACTACCTGTAGTAATCTTGCTGGTTCATTTGTTTGAGCAAAGAACAGCACATCCACACAATAATGGTAATTTTGTCAAGGACCCCCCCCCCCCCCCCCCAAAAAAAGACAGATAAACGGAAACACAGAAGGTTACAAACCACTAACAGCAGTCTTGCAAAAGCACTAACCCCCTCCAACGAAGAAAAACAACAAACATAATCATTTTGAAGATTAATGTCACATTCTGATTGGTCGGCAACAGACACTAACGACCGGTAAGTAGAAACTGTGAAAAACAAAACGAAAAACTACAAGAAAAAGCCACTTTTTGAGTAAAGAGAAGTACAACTCAAAAAAAAAAAAAAAAGAACAGTAATCCAGTAGTGGGAACAAGTAGTGCTAACGATAACAAGTTTCAATTTGGTAAAAGTTTTACAGCCCCCGCAACTGCATAACGTTATACAAGCGCGCAGGACACAAGATGTTTGCTTTCACGCTAATTCATAGCACGGCTTGGTTTTAATTTGAATAACCACATAAAACAGAGGAATATGAGGAAAAAGTAGATGATAGATACAAGTGGTACCCTTCAATCACAAGCCCATGCAGACCTAGACACCCCCCCCCCCCCCCCCCCCCACAAATGACCAGCCAGCAGGAGACTCACGTGCAGACTGGAGTGGTACACAAGCCGTCCATCGTCAGAGAGTGCCACATACTTCTTCTTCCACTCCTTGTTGAGCCCGTGACTCTTTTTGTACAAGTAGCCCTGTGGGGGACAAAAAAGAAAGAAAAATAAAATAATGATCGACTGCCCATGTTTGACATCCCTTCTGAACAGTTTTAATTTTAGTAAACATTTTACGGTACTTGCAACATAATAAAGTCGTATCAGTTGGGTTTTTTTTTTTTTAGTAAGAGTTTTACGCCACTTGCAACACAATAAGGTCATATAAGTGCTGAAGATTAGAGAGTGTTACGAGAAAGTAACAAACACAAAACAGATAGAGGGGAGATAAGGATGATAGATATTTGATAGGAAAGAAAGGGAGAACCGCACCAGAGCACCCGTCAACCACCCACAAAGTCATATAAGTGCCAAAGTTCAGAGATGTTACAAGAGAGAGTAACAAACACCAAGAGAAGCCAGAAATAAATAACACAGGGTAAAAAAAAAAAAGGAGGAAAAACAACCAACAACTCATTTCTGAGTCAAGGGTCAGGTAAAAAAAAAGTATTTTGAAAAGATCCCTAAAACCCAACAGGATGAGGACTAGTTTTTCTGAACAAACCTTGCTGCATCTAGTAGGGCATTAAACTAAAAAAAATTGTACAACCGGTTTGGTTTGTTAGGCGGTGCTAGCCAAATTGAGAACATTGTAACACAAACCGATAGCCCGACTCGCTGCCAAAAAAACCAAACTCGTTTGTTTTCAAGGTTGTGAGTCGAGTGATTGGTTTGTATCAGAGAACCGACTGATCTGTATCAGAGAACCGACTGATCCCCCAACGGGCACAGGGTATAAGAAAGACAGTAATACCAAGCACCTACCTGTCTGAGGGGAATTGTGCGGCCACTGCCCACCTTCTCTCCATCTGCTGTCTGTTTCTTCTCTTCTTCCTTAGATTTGGGCTGCAGTTAACAAACAAAGAGATATCAGTCATTTTGGGTTTCAAAAAACCCCCAAAACAAAAGACCAAAACCTCAGCATTCTCAATAAAAAATGTTAACGACTCGAATTTATGTTAGTGACAACGGCAAAGAATGGAATTTCAATGTGCGAAAACAATTAGTTGCAAAATCTGTTCATTTCAATTATAAAATAAATCACAACAATGCATTTTGGAAATGCTAGAAACAAATTAAAAATAATAAAGGGAATTAATCCGCTTTTAAGAAAATTTTATCAAACTGATAAAGTGACAGCTGCAGTTGACAATTATCAAATCTAAAAATAAAAAAAATAACAGGTGTTTTTACATACCCATCAACACACTTTAGATCAATTGCCTGTCAGGGCCAACCAAAGCTAAGAGGGATACAACATCCCAGTAGAAAGACAGAGAGACACCATAAAAATTGTCCTCACTCAGGGACTGAACATGGGTCTCCTGCGTGCTACAGTTAAGTACCTAACCCCTACACCACAGATGCCAGTTTATCAAAATATGAACTCAGTTGCTGTCAAAACTAAATAACATGAAGTGCCTAGTCTTACCAAAACATATTTTCTTTAACAAATTTCACAAATATTTAATAGACGCGGCAACACTACACACAGGAAAGGACATAATAAAATTCTAGCTTTTTTTTTACATTTAGTGACTTTTAAAAATACATTTACATATATATTTTTTTACATAAGACCACAACCTATTGTTTCTTCTCCGTAGCATCTCAGTAATTTCCTTGCTTTCACTTGAGCAGTCTGATATAAGGGTAGCTTTGCCCTTCCTCTAACCACTTGTGAACTAACGTTTTTGCTTTCCAGTTTTCAAGTTGTTTGCACCACTTGAGTCAATAAATATAAATGATTTTTTCGTCAGAAAGTTCAGGAGACAAGTGGACTACCAGTCCACCATCACATTCGAAAATTGGCCACAACAATCAATCTACACCGAGTCACCAGTGGCCAAATGGATCAATAAAGACAGCGTAACCAGTAAACGACAGAGTGTTTTTTGGTTTTTTTAACGTAAAAGCAACCCATGTACAGATTGACTGCTTAGTGTAAGACTCCGACATATGCCACTTTAAAAAGAGATGTATGGTGTAGACATAAATTGAACTGCCGACCTCTATTGCGTCCACGCGACAAGAGAGAAACTAAACACAGTGCAAAGACACTTCCTAATAGAAAATCGTTTTTATCTTTATTTTTGCCTTTTAGTGAACCATTTCCTTCAGCTTCCGAGGCACCTTCAGTTTTTTACATTATCCAGCAGCTTTGATGATGCAACTGAATATAGCCAGAGTTAATGTAACATAAAGCTGAATAACAATATAGCCATCTTAAGGCAGTGATTTTCTCAGCAAAATGAACGGTTTGTATTGTTTGTTTGAGTAAAGAGAAGCACATCGACACAACAATGGTCATTCGGTGCTGATAAAAAAGTAAGACAGACAAACAGAAACATCAGAGGGAAAGTAAAGAAGTATGACCTACCAATGGTGGGCTCCAACCACCCGCCAAAACAGTAGGCCCTTATAAATTATAACAATCCATCGACAAAAAAGCTCTACTGCTATATGTTTCATGGCTTATAACGTCATCAATGTACCAAACCTGTTGGATGATCAACCCTCCACTAGGAACGACCACATTTTAAATATATAAAGAAATCAGAGTGCTTCTTGTCAAAAGCATCTATGAGGGAAAGATCTATCTGACGCAAGGTGTGGAGGACTGAACAATGGCCCAGAGCAACTAACGTCAAAACTGAATTTATGGAAAAGTCAGCAACGCCTTAATCACATGTGAATACTCACACATGCATTTACACACACACACACACTGCGCCAAAGAATGATGGGAGTTGTGTAAGTGACATTGATAAGCTGACCACTTATTCTATCAAAGCAAAAGCTAGATTCTGCGTTAATCTTGACAACGAAGAAAGCATACGAGAGAAAAATGGGGGTAGGGGGAAAGGAGGAACATGTATAAATAGTGAATCCATGCTTGCATTGCGAGGCCATATCACTAGCTCTGATGACCACTCTCACAGAAGAGTTGTGGCCACATCAAAATGACAATGGCTATTCAGAGCGGCGAGAAAAAGCAAGAAACACAGACAGAAGGGTAAGAAAGTAGGATCTACTAGTGGCACTTTCTGACCATCTACTAGAAATGTGGCAACAACTACTAAGACAAGTACCACAACCCACCCAAAAAATAATACCATCTGGACTTAATGTGTATGACCACACCAAAAATGGTGGAAGGAGGAACTAAAAGATCTGCTCGAACCATTCACTAAACAGAAACAGATGATCTCTTTAACAACTATATACAACTTGAAAATTTGGTCTCAAAAAGCAATAAAAAACCCCCCCAATCAATGCTTCCTCAGTGTTACGACAATATAATATTTGAAAAGAAAACACATTCTTGGATTTCACTCATTATACTTGTGTCGTTCATATGATAGACATACCATAAGTAATAGCAAATGCAGTTTTAGAATAAATTTTCTTCTTGCCCAACATCAGAATCTAGATCATTTAGGAGGTGGGACGCTTCCACCATGCCTGCAGGGCTAACTCTGGCTGGGTGAGATACAGCGTTCCAGCTAACAAACAGAGACACCTAAGGAAATAATGACATCCCATGCCAAAAATGAACTCCCATATGCCATCGTTGAAATGCTATGACCAAGAGTCTAATCAGTACACCACAGACGCCTGTTCAGAGTTTCCAAATTATTTTCTCCTTCCAGACTGAGAATAGACAACTGTAACTGTGGGCGGACACAAAATGAAAATTTGGAAAAAATTTTAAATGACCAATCGAAAGTTTAACATTTTCCCACTCCAATAAAAAAAATACTAAATGGATATGAAAATAAGAACATAATGAAGAAAAGCTCACAGTGGATATGACGATCAAAAGAATACGATAAAGCAAAAAATTGTTACAGTTTTTGTGCAGGTTGGGCTTGAATCCTTCACAATTCCATAAAAACCCAGCACGAGTCTAAAAATCCCCATTTCAAATTGAAAATATTTTAATGCTAGTTTCCTTTTCTAAATGAATCTCCTTTCCAGAATTCTTGCTTCCAAAACAACTTTAGACAAAATACAACTTTTGACGACAGAGTCAGTTACATTTTGTGAGTGTCTGAGGCTAGTTCCTACTATCTGTGTCAAGGGCAAATCTCAAGTTTCTGACAGCGACTGTTTTTAACAATTGATACTGAGACAGTATAGCCTGATACAATAGACAAAACAGCAGCATACAAGAACATTAAAACCTGCCCATAAAACCCACAACACGACTCTTAAATCCCCCCCTCCCCATACACACAAGAGCATTATCATACCCAAAGCCCCACAATACACTCATAAAAGAAAGCTCTCACTGCAAACATGCATTTCAATCTGTCAAAGCCATCATGATGCAGAGATTATGAACACAGGCAGCATCAAAATGCTCACAACATTGCAACATGGGGCGCAACATTCCTTTCGTAACTGTCAGCTAATGTGACACGAGGACACAGGCTGATAGAGAAGTACACATAAAAAGCCTGCAGTAACATGCAAGAAATACCGTTACAGGAACATCAAGCAACTTCAATCAAAACTTTCTCAGAACACTTGAAATGTCTTACAGATACCCCCCCCCCCCCCCACCACCACCACCCTAGAAAAAATCCAAAACAACTCGTATCAATACAGAAGAAACTAAAACATTCTTTCGATTCAATTAGTACGACTTCTGGCTATAACACAAATCCCCACCCCCTCGTTTTATTACAACCCACCATTACTAGACTTGTTTGATCATACATGACCAATTGCTGTAATGCTATGAGAACTGTACTGGCTGTATTTTCATTTGAAACTACAATTGCTCGCTTTAATTAGATTACACTTCAATTTCACCCTGATAACAAATATGTCAATAAGGTCATCAATGTTGCAAGCAATAGCGACAAGGAAGTAACAATTCCTTTTGACTCACCAGACAAATGATAGTAAAAAATCTTACCAATAGAAAGCCATTTACATTTGTTTTTATCTGCTCCCAGAGAGTAAAGTAGTTTGCATAAACATGGCTTGTGAAAAAAATATGCTTGTAATTCTTTTATTTAAAATAAAAACAACTAGTCAGAAATTATGATTATAACAACAATTTTAAAAAATCTTCGGCAGACAATTAGAACCTCAGGTAATGGAATCTCTATCATTTTTCTTCCTGCAGACAACTCTGCAACAGATGTTAAAATTTTTTTTTGTAAGTGAGGAACTTTTTGCATCTCCTGTAAAATTTGACTTTGCAAGTTACTAAGCTTCCTGCTTGCAAAACATGACATTTGACATTCTGACCTTTACACTAACAAAAACAAATGAGCGAGACCGGTTGATTATAATATGGTCATAGAATTACTAAATAAACTTGAGAATTCAAAGAATAACAAACATCAAAACAACATTTGTTTATCACATAATGGGAACTAACATCAATGATTGCATCCCTACAACCAGTTTGGTATACCTCAAAATGAGACAAAAGTAATCCAATAATATTCTTATGACTGGAAAGCTCATATCAAGCTTGAAGAGAACAAAACAGTATTGTGCATACTACAAGTTATGAACGTCACAATATACAGCATTAGAGTTGACCTGCTTTTCACCTTTGAAAATTAATACATTTTTTTTTTTACTGTGAAGACAATTTACAAAAACGGAATAATATACTTTGTTTAACCTCTCATTTTTCTATTTCACCTAAAAAAATAATTTTTTTTCATGGACTTGAACTCATTTTGAGGAAATACCTTTAGAAAAGTACAGAAATGACACTGAAGATTTTAAGCGTGAAAAACTTCTTTGATACGTCTCCAAATGAACTATAAAACAAAAAGACAGTCTGAGGCAGGTTTGGAAACCAAGAACAGCCACTTAATTTTACTAATGAAAGCATCCTCTTTCCAACAAGTGTGTAGACTCCCTGATCAATTCAGGCTGATTCATTTGAAAGAACTTTTATTCATCTTAATCAACTACAGTTCCTTCAGTTTTGAGAAGATTTATTAATAATACTTGGTAGTGGCAGCAAGCCCATACTCTTTTTCCAGTCTTAACTACCAAGGTTCTTGTCAACTCAGGCAGCCTGGATACAGAACCTCAGTTCTTTGCCCTAATCTGTAAAGAACCAAGGTCTGATGGAATGCAACTGCTTTATGTCTCCAATGACACAATTTAAACCACTTAGGAGACAGGCTACTTTTATCTTGCCCGTCAGGGTTTAGCCTGGACTGAATGGGATACAGTATTCGAGCAGACAGATGGCGATATTTAATAAAATAACTTCCCCGCGTGGAAAATGAACTCGCATCTTTTGTATGCAATAGCAGAGGCCCGAACTCTTACACTTACATCTCAGACACCAGCAACACGCATTCTTGAACCCACCTACAATGGGATCAAGGGATTGGAAACTGAGGAATCCCACCATGGACGAGAAGTGCTAGCCATTTTCCTTTCCATGTTCGGGTTACCCCAAGTTTTTTTTTGTTGTGTTTACTCAGAATTACTAGAGTGACACTTGGTTTCCCTTTAGAGTGACACTTTCCTTCAGACGTCTAAAAAGTCACAGAAAAAATAAGAGCAACACTTTATACATTATGTTAAAACAGACCACTTGAATGGAACAGACTTAAAAGATATTAATGAAAGAATATCTCTTTCAACCATGCCTTATACATGCAGCGGATAGATGGCATTCCTTCTCCATGCAAAGACTGCTGTAGCCACAAAAAACAAACAGCCAGCGAGAGATCAAGTCCACATGGAGTGCTGATTGACTATGAACACACAAAGTCTTCATCAGGCATGAGCAAGAATGATGGCAAGACAATCCGTCTACCAAAGGCATCACCAACAGAAGGTAGCGATTCTAGAAACAACTTTCCAAAAGCAAAGAACACTCAAAGAAATGTGTGGAGGCAAGAGGCAGAAGAAACAGCTGAAGGTTATATGTTTCTGAAATTCCAGAGAAACATTTTTTCCTTCCTGATAAGCGACATCCTTGTGTCTGAAGCATCAAGGAAAAAATATATATACCTAAAACAGCCATCAGCAGAACAAGAGCCATTTGTGGGCACTACACTCAAACAGCATTACAACAGCAGGTGGTGGAAAATTGTGGAGGTGCATAGGAAACTAGTAACGTCCGTGGACAGACGCTTCAGTGACCACAGGTGGGGAGAAACAGTGGAACAAGAAACATCCCGGAGAGAGAGAAAGAGAGAGAGACAGAGACACAGGGAGGGGGGAGGAGAGGAAAAATGAGCAGCAAGCTTGAGGAACAGTGCAACAGCTTGCTAACACTGCACACACACACTGCCCGCCATCTACTAAACACTACAAAAGCTACACAGCCAAAAAGGGAACATACATACACCACATAAAAACAACCAAAAAATAATAAAATAAATAAATAAAACATCAGATCATTCAAAAGCCAAGACAAGGATGCTGAAAGCCAGTCAAACACAGCAGATGACAACTTTGGAAGGAACCAACTGAAATGCAGATCACAAACAACAAACATATAAAAAACAAAACAAACCAACAGGCAGAGAAAAGAAACTTTTCAAACGGGAACAACAAACTAACAAGACAGCGGGCGACGGAATGGTGGGTGGTGAGGTTTAAAAGCCTGGGCTTACGTTGAACAGATTGGACCTGCGTCGGTTTTTCCTGCTCTGAGTGGGCGTGGAACTCGGGGTAGGCAGGTCCTTTCCTTCTGGCTTATCCTGGAGAGATCAAACATTTCAGGCTCTCAAGCTCACATTGTGACCAGCCGGGCCTCGCCCTGGGGGTCAAGACCACGACAAAAAATCCAGACGATAGACGGAAGCCACGATTAGCTTCTCTCAACAGGGTAAAGCAAAAACCCATACGCTGAGAGTTGCGCCGCTTCCATCAGATAATAAAGCTGTCACAAAAACTACAATCAAACCCATCTCTCTGGGACGGAAACAAGTGTCCAGACACAAATGATTACCCGACAACAAAACCTGGTGACCAGACTGTTAGATAATGCAGTGGTGCACAAATATCAAATCTCCAAGGATCTGCTTCATCGTCATATTATGATCACTTTACAGCAGGCAGTTGAGCTATAAGACAAGTGCCAGGTCCCCTCTGAGAAGGTCAATACATGTTAATACCACTAGCAAGACAAAAAAAACAACGAAAAATAACCTAAACAAAACAAACCAAAAACAAGATGTATATGGTGTATACACTGCATATCAAAGCAAAGAATGAGCTATTCAGACTTGCAGAAACAAACCTTCTTCTCTGCTTATGCATTACATTTGCTACTTACTTACACAAACATGGAAACATTGGTGGACACCAACCAAAAAAAAGCACCTATCACCTGATAAGGGAGGGGAAATTTAATCCAAAAAAAAAAAAAAAAAAACCTTTAAAAAAACAACAACCAAAAAACAATTCTACACTACAAGCAAAATAACCCATACATAATTCCAAAAACTAAGATCATAGTTTTGAAATGCAGCCATATCTTAGTCTCAAATGAAAACCTAAAACAATATACAAGCATAAAAAGGTCAACCTGATAATGAGAAAGAAAAAACAAACAACAATAACAAAAGTTACTTCTTTCCTGAAGAGACAATGACTTTTAAGAATGATGTAAAAAAATTTTTTTTTAAAGCACAAACGATTGTTTCTGCAAGAGGAACAACTCAAAGCTCAGATTTTAGTCAGTTCACGTCAGACACACAAATGAAACTACATTATACAAATAAAGTTTATAATGTTATACACATATACTTCATTATGAATACAAGTGATACAAGAAGCACATCTACAAAAAATATCTTACATTTTTATTTCTATACACATAATATGATACATTAGGTTGTTCAGTAAACATTTAGGGTGAGAAAATCAAACTGCAAGTGAAACCATAGTCAGGACACCATGGAAGACAACTACACTAAACCGAGAGGTGAAAAAAATATTGTTCTTTCTAAGGATCGAGGGTGGAAACTCACCCTAAAATAAGTTTCCCTTTCACCAAAACAACCACAACAAAAACCCAAAGTGCCCCAACTAACTTTTCCTTGAAATAACCACAGATGGGAAAAAGAAAGATTGATATATTTACCTCAAGTAAGAAATATACACATAGCGCTTCCAACACAAATAGGTCACAATGCCTTACATTAAGAAGTGTTACTAGAGAATTACATTCAAAGAAAAGAAGGAGAGAAGAAGTAAAAACCCCCCCCACAAAAGAGCACCAATTAAACCAACCACCCATGGACTGATGGCAGGACGGTTGAACAGGGGGAAAATAAAACAACTGGAAACGAGACAGTTGTAGTTAGTCGACTCGAAGACTGAGAAGCAGAACCTGTGGCACAACTTTCACCTTTGACAATAGACCCAAGAGAGAGCAGAGTCGTAAAAAAGCCTGAGAGCAACTGAAACTCCAGAAAGCCTCAAAGAGGATATGAACCAGAACAATTTACTTCAAGGTTCAGCACAACTAACCACACGATCAGCTTTTTCTAAACATCTGTTGCACTCGCAGAACATTGTAATATTCATTCAAACCAAACAGAATCATGGCACATATTTCCCACAGTGTGTGTGTGTGTGTGTGTGTGTGTGTGTGTGTGTGTGTGTGTGTGTGTGTGTGTGCGAGTGTGTATGAGTGTGCAATTAATTTTTAGCCAATTCTTTGTTTCTTCAAATTGTTGGTATTTTTAAGCCACAATTGACACAATTTAAGATCATTTAGAAGGTGTGCTTCTGACCCTGCCTGTCAGGGCCAACCCGGGGTGAAAGGGATACAAGATCCCAGCAGTAAGGCCAAAATAGTTCATAAAAATTTCTCCCCGCTTGGAAATCGAACGCGGATCTCATGTTTGCAATAGTGAAGCACCTAACGGCTACACCACAGACGCCGGTTCAGCCAATTTATTTGGGGAAATGAACTGCAGGCTGGTGACAAGAAGTATCACCCACTATAAAAGCACACAGAGTCTACACCCACACACTCAAAACAAAAACCAAACTACTGCATTGCTCAGGCTTTCGGGTACCTAAGACAAAACAGTTCTGCACTAGCCTTCATACAGAACCATTAAGTCATTTCAGTTTACAGGACACACTTTCTCAAACACACACAGCACACAGTCATCGGGCAAAAGACGCCGACACGTTTGGAAAGAGAGCGAAATAGGCTAAATGAAGCAAACTAGCAGGCATTGAGGGAGAAGATACTCTTTTTACCAAAGTGGTGATCTTGACTTCAAAATCGACTGCTTCGTGTTAGACCCCGCCATACATCATTTTGAAAAGTGACATATGGTGGAGTCTTACACCGAAAAATCGAAATGTTAAAAAAAAGTATTTATACACTCGAGAACTTGTGAGTCAGCAGGAGAACTAAGATCAATCATTTGTGTTGCTTTCTTCATCCCAGTCGCAGTAGGTTTCAATAAGATCACAGAAGGACGAAAGCACTGCAGGCAGAAAAGCCAGAACTGTGAAGAGTCTGTGTTTGTATGTGCACGTGTATATAATGTTTGTATGAAAGTAGTGTGTACACATCGCAGTGTGACATCATTAAGAGGGTGTGTAATTCTATTGAACTTGGGAGTGAGGAGAGAAGAAAACAGTGAAATACAATAAAAGGCAAGACGACGCAGGAGGAAGGATTTTAGCTGTCTATGAGAGTATATACTAAAAAAAAAAAAAGAGGGGGTGGGAATGGGGGGAGGGAGGAGGAGTGGGGAACCAATAATATAATGTGCAAAAGGGAGATTTCAACCAAAATCGACTAGTGAACCATCTCACAAGAGAAGCTAAGGAGATCAGGACCCACATGCTCAATTTAACAGAACTTTTGGGGTACTAGGTGTAAGCCAACTTCACAGAGTATGGTTAGGTATACACTGAAGTCCGTTTCCACAAGAGCAAGAGTACAGCTCGATCACAAATGAAAAGGCTTCTACAACAAATATGTTCTCAGTCATATTTCTACTGATAACTTTCAAGCAAAATTCCTCAAGAGATTGACTCTGTGAGACCAGAAGTGGTGATCTTTTAATATATTTGCCAAGACCATATTTCTCATGGAGGTTTGATTAAAACATTTCTTTAAAAAATTCAAAATCTTCTTATATAAAGATGTAATCATCAAACCAAAATAATAGCCCGATATAATAAACCAATTTCAACAATAAAAGAGAAACCAACTGTATATTATAATTTGAAAGCCACGAAATTGTGAACTTCTTATTCCCACAAATCATGGCTGTGGTACTAAAAACAAGAACTTTCAGAAAGTTTGGCGACACCACCATTGGAAAGGAGATTGTGCGAGTCGTAAAACTGAAAGGGAAAGGGCGAAAGAGACCAGCACTACTACAGGCAGAAGCAAAAGGGGACACAGCTAAACTGCTGATGACCTTAAGCCCGGTTCAGATAATTCTGCTAATCCTTCAACGATTGTGCATCCAGCAACACTAATTGATCAGATAGCCCATCAACAACAAGGGCAAATAGAAAAAAAGATGCGATTAAGCTGGATAAAAATGGACCTAGACACTACTTTCCTTACCATGCTGTTTTGTTTACTTCACACACATTACAAGCTTAACTTCTCAACAAGTAGACCTACATGAAGGTAGAGTTGTATTTGGATTCATTCGAGACAGACAAAATCAACTTTGGTGACTATTAACACAGAAGTTTGCTCCTCCCAAATTTATTCCACCTCCATTCACTTTACGTTACCTTTTTTCAGGTCTTTGAATACTTTTGAGCTTTATCTAGACAGATGCACAATTGTCAAAGATATAGCGTCAGAGCTCAGTCGTGGTAAGCACTATCCGACGAAAGTCAACGGATGAAAGAAGTAGTAAACAGTTTGGTAAACCATTTTTCATTAACCCAGGGAAATAGTCAACCCTGTCAATTAACTACAGACACTGATAAACTTCTCAGTGAACTGGTTTTGAAGAGCGATTTACACAAATGTAATTCTTTCATCGGCTGGCATTTGTGTGGTAGTGTTACGCGCAACAGCAACATCATAAAAATAATCCGAACCGGGGAAGTACAAGCGCAACTCCACAGCAGCAGCAAAACGGCACCGGTCCACGACCAGGCCAGTGGACTTACAATAGCCAGACTGGACCGGACTCGAGAGAGTCGGGTCAGAACAGGCGAGGTCGGCTTAGAGGAGTTGTTGTTGATGACGTTGTAGTGGCCGGTGGGAAGAGCCTGAAGCTCCGTGAGATAGCGGCTTAGTTTTTCCTACAAAGGGGGGTGGGTGAGGGGTGAAAATGAGGAAATCATTTGCATGAGTGCCATTTCTTCTAGTGCAAACAGCCGAGACACCAGCATACGGCAGTTCACAATATGCAAAGCTGTGGCCTAATCTATAACAAATTGTATAAGTAACAGAAGCACATTGACACAATAATGGCCATTTCGTGCTGGGGAAAAGCAGGATAGACAGACAGAAACATGATACAGAAAGAAAAGAAAGGTCTACCAGAGCGCCCCACCAATCGGTCATAAAACAAGAAATAACCTGCAGGACTTAGTAACCCTGATCACAAAGGTAGAGAGAGACAAAATTTGTCCTACTTTTTTTGACAAGTTCTAGATCCGTAGGAGGTTACACAGAGAGGCCCTTTCAAAGGCAAAGAAATGTTCCTGGGGATAGGGTATAGAAAAAGAAGGCAGAGAGGATACACCGCACTCTAGCATGACAACAATGCCTATCTTCCACCTCAGGCTAGAAACATTTATGATATACAATGACATACATGTACAAGAAACAGCGAATGAGAGACAGGAATACACTGAAAAAGAAAAAACCCATTAATACAAAACACTTCCAGGAAGGATAGGAAAAATAATTCCAACCCCCCCCCCCAATTCGAACCTTGAACTTCTGTCTTCTGTGAGGCAAACAGAATAACCAAGCCTATGGCACCAGCACAGCAACTAGCTGTGAGTGACAAACATACATGAAAAAACATTATAGTAACTACCCTCCTTTAAGATTAAACAGTCTATCCAATTAGGATATTAACAGTCAAAGTAAAAAAAAAAAAAGAGAAAACTTATTAACTGATATTCAAACTCAGGATCTATCATTAAAAAAACCACTACCTCCAATGTTTTCATCTCTAATTTTCCCAACACGAAAGGATCCTGACTAATGTTTGAGGGGAAAAAAATCGTTGGCATTTCAAGTGTATGGGACATCCATGGCATACAGAGATAAAAACAATGCGAACAGTCAAACCAATACAGAAAGGGTGTAATTCTTAGATATATAATTGGATATCATGAAAATGGCAGCTTCTACAAACAAAGAAATACCACCTAGAGAAGGCAACCCCAGCACCTCCAGTGTACTTCCAACGAGACAAATCAGCGCTCCCCACCCCCTTTCCCATTAAAACAAAAGACAAATAAACAAAAGCACATCAAAAATAGATAATTCCCGACCTTCCACTCCCCACAAAAACAAACAAACAAAAAAACAAACAACCCAAAACAAAACAACAACAGCAAACAACAACAACAGACAAACCAACAAACCCAGCAAAAGCAAAGGTTTCGTTCCCAAAGCTTCTGGACATTTCATTATGAACCTTTGTTCTCGGATTCACTACTCATAACTAATGATCAGTCCACGTTTCCTTCATGAATGAAAAGAAACAACAGACTGGTCCTTTGGAGTAAAAGTAAAGCATGTAACTTATCATCTGCCCATTAAGTAGAGCAAGCAGACAAAACACCGAATCTGTCGCAGGTGAAATCCCGCACAATTTTGAGGGCGTGGTTTTAAAACACTACTGCCATTTGTGCAACAATGACACATAATTAAAGACCCGTTTTACAGCATAATCAACACAATTAAAAGGCTAGGGTGCCTGGAAGCGGAGATAAACAGTTACTACAGCAGAAGAGGATTGTTATGCTACTCTGAGCGATAGAAGGAAGATACAAAGCTCTAAGTCCTGAACAATCGCTATTAAATTGTGCACAAAAAGTTACTGCTATTACAACTACTGCTCTAACCCAGTGAGAGGTGTCTCTAAGAGAGCAACACTTCTGTTTTTTCTGCCCTATGACCACAGTCAAGCGTCTAAAGCAAATCAAGCAATTTCCTCTACATCAAGATTACACGAGTGAAAGCAAGGAGGATTCAGCCACTGCTCAGGCTACATGCTATGCAAAAGTTAACTCCTTCTGGATGTCATTTTTATGGGGCGTATGTATAAAAATGACAGGTACTCTTCCAGAGCTAACTTTTTCAGGGATTTTTTAAATTGGGGATATGACTAAAAAGGATACAGGTACTAAGCAAGAGTTAACGCCTTCAGGAAGTAAATTTTATGAGGCACAGTTCTAAAAATATCAAGTGCTGTTGCGGGATTTACTTTTTCAGTGAGTATTTTTTCTGGGGTTTAGTACAGAAAAGACCAATGCCATCGCCGGTCTATGGGAATATGTCCAGAAAAAGTTCAGCTAGAAATCAGGATCTCAAGGTTTTGATGGGGGCAATCGGACACTTTAACACTCTACCTAACATCTTAAATTTGTCTTTACTTTCAGCTTTCTCTGTTTTTTGTTCTACAGCTATCTTGAGTTACCTGGTTACAGTTATTTCTTCATATGACAACAAATGCGCCACAATAACATTTTCAAACAGTCTGATCTTAAACACACTTTTTTGTTTTGAATTATAAATAGATCTTAACGGGATTAATAAGGTTCATACACACCTGTTTTTATTTTCTAAATTTTCAATTTTACAAAACATATTTTATACACACCCTTATTCTCTTTATTATTCTACAAAACATAACCTGTACACACCTGTATTTCCTGTTCTATTTTACACAACATATTTTACACACCTGGTTTCTTTGTTACAAATGTTAAACTTTTGCAAACCAACTATATTGGGCATAGGCTAAGCGTATATACATCTTCAAGGCATAAAATATTCCTAGTTTTAGACAATTTTTATTATTGCTCCTTTTTTTGTTGTTATATAAAAAGAACAGTAGGCATTTGAAAAAAGAATGGACTGCTTTGGGTTTCATTCAATCATAAAAGCCCCCTTTTGAAAATATATATACTCTTGAGAGTTTTCATACAATAACAACAGTTGGTACTTGATAACAGAAATTATTCTATTTAACTGAAGTTTGGGATATGTACAAACATTTCAGATTCATTAACTTTTCGCAACAAAATGTTTGAGTAACATGTGGACAGATGGTGGTGATGCTGAAACACACTATGTGAAAGCATCCACGATACACACATATAACAAAAAATATATGTGATTGTGTCCACCAAACAATCAACTAGTGACCCACTGATCAACATTTTTTTGTCCTTGGTATTTTGCTGGCTGTGACAAGACACTAGATAGAGAGAACTTACGAAGTGTTTGAACGACTTACACTGAGGAAATTCGGTTTGAAAAACTGTTTGTTTTTCCAGGGAATGAAATTGGCGGCCGATTGGTTCTGCAGTTGCCCTCTGAGCTCGGATGCACCCTGCACACAGGAGCGAGGGGATGGGGAGGGTGGGGAGGGAGATGGGAGTTTGGAAGGTGGGCAGGGTGGTGGAGATGGTACGGGGAATAAAATCAGGGGGCATGGCAGGAGTCGGCCAATTAGTAAGGGGGCATTGATGGAGAATCAAAAGAACGCAAGATGCAGAGATAAAAGGGATAGGTCGGGGAAAAAAAAGAACCCCCCCCCCCCCCAAGTAAAAAATACAAGAAGATGAACACAATATAATTTTTAAAAAGGACATGAGACATATGGAGTGGGCAAGAAATACATCAGAGCAGGCAGGCAGTTCATGCATGGGTCAGAAACATAAACAGACACTAAGACAAACACAGACAGGCACCCACAACAAACAAACAGCTTACTACCCGTATTCCAACTTCCCTGCTCGCCAGCATACTTGTCTGGACCCTAACAGTCCAGACTGTGAGCCCATATGTCCCTACACAGGAAAGCCTCACAAAGCCTAACGACAATGAAAGGCAAAAAGCAAACTCACAGACAGATACACACACAGACATAAGTAAGCGTGCTGACCTTGTTGGAAGCGTGTGCTACAGGTAAAATGACTGCCCATCACACGTACTTGCAATTTTGTCCGCCTCCACCCTCAACCTACGAAAGTAAATGCTTTAGTCTTCCATAGACAGACAAGTCATTTCGAAGTTGGACTACTTAAACCCAGCCAGTCAGGGCAAAATCAAGATGTGTGGAAGCAGTGCTGGTATGGTATTGGTCTCACACCTCTTTCAAAACTGCATAGTTACAACACAGGCAGGTGACTAGTGACTTTAGGTTTCATCTTATGAAAGGACCAAGCCAAGAGGTTGGATAGACCCAAAAAAACTTAAAGCAACTCAAGTTCTATAATGCCCTGCAAGGGGGATGTGATCAAGTGAAGTAACAAACTATATTCTTAAAAATGTGTAAATCACGTGTGTTCAGAGGACATTTACAGAACAATTATGCACACTAAAAATGCTGGGTCTTTTAGCTCACACTGCAGGGAATGTCTGACCATCTGGCTAGAAGAACAGAATACTGATCTCCCACCCCCCCCCACTCCACCCCCCTTCCCACCCTCACAGTCATATTTGACACCCCTCTCAAAATACTCCACATAGTTTAGGAGATGGGCTTCTTTGACCCTGCCTGTCAGGGCCACACAAGGCTGTGCGGGGATACTAAATTCCAACAGAAAAAAAAATGTTGAAGAGAGTCGATCAAATATCTTCTCTGCATGACAATTGAACTCAAGTTTCCTGCACCCTCCCTCTTTCCCTCACTCTAAACTCCAGCATTGTCACAGGTCTGACAAAGCCGACAGCTGACCTCACTCACGGCACACAGACCCATCTCACAAAACAAAAAACACAACAACATGCTATACAGAATGCAGCACAGCGCGTCCGCAAAGATTCTAAAAATATAAAAAGCGCTACCTCATACAAATATACTAAAAACATCCAGTAACTATTAATTAAATCAACACATTATTGTAAAAAACACCATGACAAAAATTCACACAGCAGGAAGCTAAATTAACCACAACAAACAAACAAACAATGCAATGCATATTCATAAACTCAACATTCAGAGTGCAACAATAACTTGAAACTGAAACTCCAAACCATTGACAAACTAAACAGGAGAAAAAGGAAAATACTAGTGGGGGAAACAAAGGTCAGGAAAACGGCAAATCCGTACAGATGACTCGCAAATGAGCCCCCAAAAAATCCAAAAAAATCACAAAAGCCCAAGGTTGTTTGTGTGTGCATTAATATGTTAGTATCAAAAAATGACTTATTAGTCACCATTATGATACACATAGGCACAACACTCACATCTCCAGAATGTGAAAAACTTCTACTGTCATGTGAAACTTTCTATTATTATTATTGTTAAAATCATTCTAATGGTTTCAAAGTTTTAACTTTTAACTGTACTGTACCTTTTACTGATACTGTTTTTTTCTTTAAAAAATTTTACACTTGACTATACGTGGAGTATTTTCTATAATAAGATTAGTTCACTATTAGAATTCTCTCTTATAAAAGGAGTTGGTGGCGTGATGGTATTGGGTGGGTTTTGGGGCAAGGTTCATACCTACTTGTTCTCATTACATTAAAGAGCTGATGGGAACAAATCTACTTTTATTGTTTTTATTGTTTTAGAACTTCAAACAGAATAATGAAGAGGTAAAGTTAGCTTGAAATCAAATAAAAGCTATTGATTTCACTTAAGTTTAATCTTTACTTTTAACGCGACTTGAACAAATAAGCTTCTTCAACCTTTTAACAATAGACGGTGCATTACAAGCTTGCCTGCAATGAGGGAAGATATCGACTTTATATTAAATGGGAGAAAGAAACTGAAAAGGAAGAAAATATTCATCCTGCTTGTCAATCTATTTAGAAATAAAAGAACATTAGGTGCACACAATCAGTTCCTTCGCCTCCAGATAATGATCGATACATTTCAAATTGAACTATATTTTCAGGAAAAAATAAAACAGTGATACAGATCTCAGTCTTTTGAAAATGGGGAGGGGGAAAATGAATAAGAACTGAAATATGTAGGAAAAAGCACGTGGCTACAGTGTGCAGTGCCGGAGAGAAGGGCTAGTATAATGTCACTTACGCTGAAAGAATTGGATTTTTGGACGGAGGAAGTTTTTTTGTTTTTGCGCAAGGCAAGCGGAGTGCAGGTCACCGTCTCCTCAGAGTTGAACCTATCGTACGCCTAGAAGACAAGGAAGATAAAAATAGCAAGGGAGGGGGACTCAGAAAAAAACCACAATCAATAGCAACCAATGCAGGGGTTACAAAAAGAAAATGAGGCCAAAATTAAAAAAAAATAAAAAATTATGAAGACATGAATGCAACAGAAAAGTATGGGGAATAAGCATGCAGCAGCCAGTCCAAAACATTAAGAAATGTAGAGCTTTGGTTTGTCAAAGACAACTGAACATTTTTCGCCCCAACCGGGTACCCATGATCCAAATATCACTCGTGCAACACTTAAATCTCCTCCATGAATACTTACGAATGACCCCCCAAAAAATATTTTTAAAAAGCCATCGCATAAACATAAATACATCTGTTCTGCCTCGGAAACCAAAGCGCTACATTTTCCCTTCCTTTGTTTAACTTACCGAAAGAAATTGACCTCCCATAAAACTGGTACTTATTTCTTCAAAAGTTGATTACTTTTTTAAATGCCCCCTTCCCCCCATTTAAAATAAAAATGTTCTTAGGTATTTCTCATTAGTGAACCATCTTGTTCCCCTGTCCATATTTTTAAATAGCTTGAAAGATGCAACAATCAAGCACTGATTTAAATTATCTTATACTTCTTTCACAAAACTATTAAAGCTCATGGTCTTACACAATCTCACTGTAGGTTAAACCTTATGAAAATGACCAGCCTTAAAATTATGATGAAAAAACGACATAAAGATTAAGCATTCACATGAAAAACACATGGCACATGAAATCAGCAAAACATATCAATGAAAATGCATCCCCCAAGCAAAAGTCAGCCAGCACTGGCCAAATCCGGGAAGGTTTTGCCAAGAAATTTTTATAAAAGCTCCAAATCGACAGAAAGAGAATGTAAGTGGACCACAGTATCAACCATGTATCCTATAGCAAATTATTTCACCACCACTGTAGCACACCTAATCAAAACCTATCCACTCACAATAAGTGACTATCTGTCCAGGCCACCAACCTGCCCAACGCGACCAGGACCGCTATATTTTATCAACCAATAGCCCTCAAGACCTGTCCAAGACAACAAGGTAAATCTCTCATCGCCCCACGGCCCCCTCTCTCCCCCCCCCCAAAAAAAAACAACAACAACCAACAACAAAACAACCCAACATGTTACTGGGCCTTATGAGAGTCTAAAGCCTGTGACCACCTCAGGTTGGGACTTCAGAATGGAATAAAAAAAAAAAAATTCCTTTTGTTAATCTAACCCGCCCAAGAAAACAACCTGTACTATTTTTCTCCAGACAATGGTTTGCCGTTTTGGACAATTTGACTGTGACTCTACAGTATGAGTAAACATAACTTCGAGGCCTTCATGCTGCTTTCAACAAAGTGACAAACATTAAGGAACATATTTCTAGCAACTGGGCCAAACAAATGAAGAAATTTTCTGAGACAATCCTAAAGCAATCCCTTATGTGTCTGTGACAGAAATCTAAAGGACAAAGTGTTTCAAAATCCTGATCTTTTGAACAAACGCACACTCAGCCTGAATGTTTTTTTTTTATTAAACACCCATCCCTTTAAAAAAAAAAAAAAAATTTGAAAAAAAAAAGTCCCTGTAAAATTTTGTGCAGTAAAAAATTTGAAGCCAGAATAACAGAATTTCAACTAACGTAATAAACTACCTAAGATGAATCCAAAGCCACACCAATTCTATGCAAATGCGCAAGAGATGTGCAGGCACTGAATCTACAGAAACCTATAAAACGTCGAAACTAGAAACCATGCCCAACCACCTGACAGTTTCACTCCATTTTTTTGCTATAACTGTTACACGCCTCGAGGACACCTATCATGTTGCTGGTTTTTAAAAAAAAAAGAAAACCCCTGCAAAGGCAGTTGATACTATGGAAATCATGATAACCAGCTTGACTACCTACACCACTCACTTCCGGCCAATTACTAACCTACCACTGATAACCAACTAGTTACCACCTACTGACTAACAACTAGCTACAACTGACGACCAGACAGCTATCAGTGACAACCAGCCAGCTACACTACCAAATACAAGCTATCACTAACATCCAACCAGCAACCATCGACAAGAAAGAGGCAGAGGCAAATCATTTGCAAGCAGCCGCTCTAGACCATACCTCCCTGAATCTGCTCAAATCTACTCATCAACTAAAGCTCAAATCTACTGATTTAACAAATTTCTAATAAATGTACAATAGAATAATTTCTGAGGACACATTCCCATTTTTTACGTCTAATAAAATAGGGAATCCACTCTCCCCGCCCCTGCAAATGAAAAACAAACAAAACAAAGAAAGAACCCAACCCTAAACAAAACCCCAACATAAAAAAAAAAAAAATGAAATAACTTGACACATTATCAATACACATGAAAAAAATGAACGGCTGAACATGCTGAATGATGCAGGGATAAACAACACAGCAGTTTGGCAGGGAGGACAGGCTTGACAGCAAACATCCTGTCAGCTGTCACGCTAGTTAGGAAGCCACAACAACCACAATGATGATGACGACGATGCCAGCAGAGAAAACAGCGAACAATGGGAGGAACATCAAGACCATGCAAGCAGGACAAAAAAAAAGATAACACGCCAACAAAGGGAGAGGATCTGGGCAGAGACAATCGCCTTTTTCGATAAACCTCACTTATGATAAACCTCACACATGACACTATTTCCAATGAACTACAAGGGTGCTTTATAGACACAGCTGACAAAGCAACGACATTGTCTCTCCAAAAAGGCAGTGCTCGTTGAAAAACAAACAATGCTAGGTTGAACATTGCAAATAGCTTGGCCTTAAAGCTAACGCAGCTAAAAAAAACCCAGAAGACAAACAAATAAATCTCACTTATGACACTATTTCCCACTAAGCGCAAGCATTTTAGAAGATACAGCTGACAACCCCCCCCCCCCAAAAAAAACAAACAAACAAACAACCCCACACTGTCTGACAAAGCATTGCTATTTTGAAGAACTAATAGCCTGGTTTTACACAGCTCACAAACAGAAGATACACACATGACTCGGAATAAATAATAAATGGATCATGAACCCTCCAGTCATGTTGTCCTTTTGACTGAGTAGACAGACAGAACCCATGTATGAACACCAGAAAAAGCTCAGTCTTTTGTTTCAAGCAGGCAGAGGCAGTGATGCACCTTCTATTTTTGTGATGAACCTTCCATTTTCACATGGTCTACTTTTATTCAATGAGATCTAAGGGACAAAAACTCCTTCAATGGTAAGTATTCTCAAAGTTAGAATGGCCAAGTTCAGGATGTTGCTCTGCATGCACGAGGTATAGAACAAATAAACCTTCAATTGTTCTTAAATAAGAAGTCTCCCAATCTTAAACTGATCTTAATGGCAGCATAACCTATATAACTAACAGTTTTTAATTTCCTTGCGCCACCATTTAAACAATTCCAATCACACTGAAAGAAGGATGCTTTGGTTGTGCCAGTCAGAGCCAGCCTGAGCAGAGGATAATGCTTTCCTATGGGATAGATGGAGAAACTCAATAAAAATAAACTGACTTCCTTGAGCGGGAATCAAACTCATGACTTTCATGTGCAGCAGCAAAGGGCCTAACAGTTAGACAACAGATGCCAGGGCTTTCCACAAGGCAATACTGAAGAAGCTGGCATACTGAGTGGATTCGCACACCTAGTGAAAGCAGCATCAAGGAGCAGGCACTAAATGAAATTCAACTCCCAACATCCTATACCAGCGAGGTGAAGGGTGGTTTAGCCGTCTTTCCTGTGCTATCAATGCTTTGAGCAACTGGCCGTTTTGCTGCACAACTTTTAGACAAAAAAAAAATCCTCCACAAAAAAACTTGTTTAAATTCTACTTTGCATTAATAAAATATTGATATGTGTGGAATAAAAAAAAGGACTCTTGTTCCCATTCCCAGTGCTGCATATCAATCTTGTTTTGGAAGAAATATAAGGTGAAAACGGTATTCATACACTGCTGTAACACATGCTTTATAACACTCCCTACAAGACTACTTGAAAAATTGGATTCATGCCTCTAATCCTAATATTGCTATTGTAGATGTTTTACGCCGAAATTAACACAATGTAGATAAATTAGGAGATGGGCTGCTTCAACCCTACCCCTCAAGGCCAACCTGGGCTGAGAAGGATATAAAGTCCTAGCAGAAAGACGGGATGTACGTCAAAAAGTCTCCCTACATGGGAATCTTAACTTGCACCTTTCAATTTCACAACTTCATAGTTCCCACAAAACAACTTTTTAAAAAGCTTAAACTGCTTGATTGTGGACTCATCCTTTTTCAACCTGTTTTATTTTTGCTTCAGTAAGAGTTTTACGGCACTTGCAACACAATAAGGTCATATAAGGTCTTACAAGGAGAGTAACAAACACAAAAAAAGAAGGAAAAGAGATAAGGATGATAGCTGTTTGATAGGAAAGAAGGAGCTGACCACCCCAGAGCACCCACCAACCAACCACTCTACCTGTGTTGGAATACAACTAATTTTTTCCTGAATATTCTACTCTGACAGCTGATTTAATTATGAATAAAAATAATGTGAATAATTTTTTTAAAAAAGAAACAAAAAGAAAATTTTAAACAAAAAGATAACAACTCTTAGCAAACAAAAGTATCTCAATAACTGTGTGTTTAACAAAATCCCAAATTATACTCCTCACAAATGAAAGCTGAAGGAAAATATTCATCTGAGCATCCAAAAAAACATAAACATAAGAAACCGTCACCTTCGGGGGGGAAAAAAGGGATAAGAAAGAGTGTGTGAGGAAAAAAAAAAGGTGTTCAGAACGTAGTGTAACCAGTGGCCAGGCTACACAATCACATCCATAAAGTAATCATTTTTGGAACCCAGGAATGCTACACTTTCTCAAAAGGTGAATGAATACCTCCACAAGAAAAGAAAAATATGAAGAAATTTTTTTTACTCAAGTTTAAAAAAACATACGTAGTTTCTTAGAATAATGTCTCTGATTATCCCACACCTAGATGCCTTCAAAATCTGTAGAAACGACAGAAACAGCGAGGCGAAAAGTTATCAACAGATAAACTGTGCAGCTTTTTACTTTACTAACAACCAGTGAACTAAAGGAGCAAAGTTTATTGAGAAGAAAGATCTTTTCAAAGTTCCTGGATTACATACTGAGACTCGAGTACCAGGTTAATAAGTCTGGCTAGTACTACCCTCACCACAAAGCTTACTACAGAACTTTTCCTCTATGTTTATCTAACTAGCCAAGCGCATACAGAAAACAAAAAAATTCCCCCATGACCCTTCAATTTTTTTTTTACTCAACATGAAAATTAAGAAATTGAAGCCAAATCAAAAATACTATTTCACAAAAGGGAGAGGGAGAAAGAAAGAAAGGGCGACAGTGAGAGAGGTAGAGAAAAAAAAAAAGAAAGAAAGGGCGAGAGTGAGAGAGGGAGAGAAAAAGAAAAAAGAAAAAAAAAGAGGGGGGGGGGGGGGGGAGAGAGAGACAAGAGAGAGACAGGTGGAGAGAGACACTGAAAGCTAAACTTCTGCTTGTTGTATAAAGTCAATTATAATAACTTTTAACCTTTCCCAGACCTCAGCCCAGAGCTTTTAGAAGTATTTCATTTCTAATTACATTTATATCTTTTCACAGTTCATCGAAGCTCTTAATGTTTGTCAAGTCCTCTTAGATACCTAACCCTCTATCACCTTACTTTCCGAAGGTGAGAAAAAATGAGAGCCATTAAGTTTATCATAGATTGAGAAAATATGAACATAAAAAGAAACATTAAAAGTTATTTAGAGCTCAAATTGGGAAAGAAAGACAGACAAAGAAAGTAAAAACAGTAGGACAAAAATCAGTCCCGTCAGTGGTGCCCTACATGAGAACAACTCTCCAGCAAGAAGAATTTCACACAAAACAGACAAAAGCAACAGGGGCTTGGGGAAAAGATAAATTTTGGTACTGATGAACCAGTCTATGTTGATGTGTGTCTAAATTTTAATAATGTTTGAAAGTAAGGTTTAAGAGCTACTTCAGGAAGGTCTTGAAGCCCCCCCCCCCCTTTTTTTATTAATTAAAAAAAGCAGAATGTGCCTTAACAAAGATGTAAGAAATACAAAAATGTATTAGTAGCTGTGCGGGACCTAAACTTGATGCCCCTTGCACCAGAAATAAACCCACTACCAGTAGGTCAGGAACTATAAAACAAAAGACCCAAAAAGGAAAAAAAACAACAAATACCCTTCATACAATACTACATCCCATAGCACTACATAGTGGCGGACAGGTACCAGGAGAAGAACAGGAGAAACCACCTCTGGCACAGAACGGAAAGGAAAATGTCTGTCCCAGAGTTCCCGAATCAGCAACCACAATAACGTCAAACACCCCCCCCCCCTCCCCCCCAAACAAAAACAAACAAACAAGAACAATCAAATTGCTCCATCAGAAATCACATCAACAACAACAGAATCCATATCATCAATCTTTGGATTTCTCTGGCCTGAACACACCTTTTAAACTGTGGAAAATTACAACAAAGACAGGCATATCTTAAAAAAACAACAACAACAACCCAAAAATCTTTCAGATACTGTTTTAAGGCGCAGGATACAGTGCCCTTCATTACAGGTAAACAACACAACACAGAACAAGTCTCCTGATCTTTTTCAGCTCTCACATTCCCCCCCCCTTCCATTCAGGGGGAAAAAAAAGACAAAGCATCCAGCACTCAGGAAAAAGCCTTGGTCATGCCCACCCTGTAAAAAACCTGTTACAACAAAACCTATATTTCTCTGAAACATACATAATGTCGAGCAATGGAACCTGGGGACAAAGAGCTACATGAAAAATTTGTTGTCAGGACAAAAAGATCACACAAAACTGATTGCTATACTACAGTAGTAAAAATTTGGTTATTATTACAATCTCCCTACAGTAATAGAAAATCAGAGAAAGGTTGTACCAAAAGCAAGTAATGAAAGTCTAAGCTCAAGAAATTTACACTGGAAATATCCAATCTAAATTTCTTGTGACAAAGCTCTCAATAATACAACCGTATGGTGATTTTCTCAAGCGACCCAGTCTTTTGTAAGGTCAATAGTTTATTTCTAGTAACAACAGTGTACCTGTGAGTCGGGTAGATCTTGAGGTGGCAGTACCATGGACTGTGGTGGGGGCATGGAGGGCACCTGGGGCGGGCCCTGGGCCGATGATGGGATGATGACCGCCGGCTGGCTCATCAGCTGGCCAGGGACGACGCCCCCAGGTTGCTGCTGCTGCTGTTGCTGCTGCTGTTGCTGCGGTGGTGGGACTTGCTGCTTGTCTTTCTTCTTCTCACCTTTCTCTGGCTTGCCTTCTTTGTCTTTAGGTGGTGGTGCTGGAGGCTGTGGAGGTGAAATGAGGCCATCAGTAACTTTTTAATGTCTTATAAACACAAATTAAACATGTCTAAGACAGGCCTCACAATGCCTCCAGAGTATTGGGGCTCTGTGTCTGGTCAAACAAAACACTCGTAGATTGGTATAAGTACCAAAAAAATAAAATAAAGGGTCTCATCCCAAAACTACAGATATTGTGGTGTACGATGGCACCCTCCTGCAGAGGGAGTTCTGTCTCAAGTATACAACAGTATCAAACCATATCCTTTTATCATGGAATTAATGGTCACTTTGGAGTTTCCTTGAACAAAACATGATAACCCTGATCCAGAACAGGGAACTGTACAGCAGCGACATAGTGACAAGTGATGGTATTAGTGTATTTGCATTAATGGCATTTGTACATTGAGAATATTTATGGGCAGATCATTGTAAAGCAAACTTCTTGAGAGAGAAATTGCGGAATAAAATAAAAACTTCAAACAAACTTTGACATTCTAAAACTATGGTCTCCAGAGCCTTTTAACACGCCCCTCCTTTCATGTCAAAAACATCCTCTTCTCTCTTGTTGGCTTAAAACACTGTGATAAAATTCTCAAAGACCACACCTGCTGTTCTTGAGAGCCTTTCTAAATTTTAAGAGGGCTTTTTTTTTTCTTTATCAAAACCATATGTGAGCGGCTCTGAGAAAACCCGTCGGAAGGTGCGAGAAGCTATTCTGAGATATCACTAAAATTAGGCCCTGAACTTTATTTTTTATCGAAAACGAAATTATATGAAATTCAGAAAGATAGACCATTTCTACATCATGTGTTTTAAGAAATTTGCTCAAAAGTGATTGAAAATATCTAAAATAATTATTTTTGAGGACATATCGTCGCCGTATTACGTTGAATTCTTAGACAAACAGGGGGAATATTTACTCAATTGGATAGACACTTCTTTCCACGGGAACCCTCACGTATTATATACCAAAAGAAAGAGAATTTTATTGCCGTTTCGGGAAAACCCAATGCGCATGAATGTGTGAACATTACAAATAGTTCTGTGAGTTGCGCATGTTGTAGTTTCACTTCTAAAATGGTATTTGTCATGAATGCAGTTTAACATCTAATGTACCATTTCTTGCCATTCAAACCAAATATGAACTGTTCCTTATTGACTTTAAGTTTTTTGTTCTGCTCAACGAAGTGTTTTTTTCCGAGTTTACTGTAAGTAAACTGATTGTTTTCGGTTTCCAAGTGGTCGAGCGCTTTTGTTTACATAATTTAATTGATTCAAGATGGCGGACCGATCAGCTGAGTGGCGTATTTCATCGATGCAAAACGAAAACAAGAGGTGACAGAATGATGGACAAAAATTCTGGCTTCTTGTTGCAACCTGTCAACTGTAAAGGGACCACGGAGCAAATTATTCTCAATTGGTGATCATTAATCACTGGTTTGTTTGAACTAATAGTGGTCATTTAAATACAGTGGTGTACAACACTATAAATTTCATTATGCAAGCTGCACACCTTTAAATCGCTCTCTTTTAATTTCTGTATCTACAGACGAGGATGATGCCTTAGGGGTGACCTTCATAGAGAACGTGACAGTGATTGAATTATTTTTAGGATCAAACGACTAAGATAAAATAGGGATGGGAGCATGGACAAAGTAAAGGCTATGGTGTGACAGCGGTGCTATCGGCTGACCATCCGAAAGACATATTTATCCGATATCGTTCTGATGTTGGGTGATCATCGGTTTCCGATAGTGTGTGGGAACCCGACATCGTCCTGATGGCGGGTTGTCGTCGGTTTCCGATGGTGTGTCGATATCCATCATCGCACCGATGGCGGGTTGTCATCGGAAACCGATGGTAAATCAGTATCCATCATCGCGCCGATGGTGGGTTGTCATCGGAAACTGATGGTAAGTCGGTATCCATCATCGCGCCGATGGTGGGTTGTCATCGGAAACCGATGGTAAGTCGGTATCCATCATCGTGCCGATGGTGGGTTGTCATCGGAAACCGATGGTAAGTCGGTATCCATCATCGTGCCGATGGTGGGTTGTCATCGGAAACTATTATGACAGACTTCAGTTTTGACCTAAAAATTAATATTTTGACCTGTCATTTGCTTAAAATTTTTATATTAAATAAAAGTTTCCTCATAATATGTATCTGTGTACATGTTTTTAATGTTTATCAACTCTGGAAAACCCTCACAGTACAATATGTAGTTCGTTCATAACAATTACTACAAAAGAAAAATACTGATTAAAATACATACCCATACACTTATGATAAAAATCAAAATATCAGAATGTAAGCAAGGTCTAATACATCCTCAAGTTGGGTTAAAATTAAAAATACATCCCAAAACAACTGTAAATTACATGGAATAAGGTTTCGTTCATAACCATTATGACACAATGTCACGTTCATAACATGATGACAATCCATTATGACAAGCATACTTTTGCCTCTTCTTCGCTTCTCTTTTGAGTCATCAGCACGCTACTCTTCCATGTTCATTCCACCATGTAAAAGGATGTTGTGAATCAGTGGGAAGTCCCTCACATGATATTTAGCAGAAATATCATAAAGTGTTTGTTCACAACATCATTATGACAAACCTGGATTATCTCAATCAAAGTCATATTTAAGGAAAACCATGCGATGGAGCGGAAAATTACCCTTCTGATGGATCAATGTCAAACCAATGTTTAATACCGGTCATTCCCCGGGATGATATGTTTAACGATTAGGGTTTTCTAGACCTTGGAAAGTCTGATGATATAATTATGACACGAGTTTTGAACGAACTTATAAATTTTACTCAGCAATAACATCATTAATATAAAAACATAAAACCCTTTTAATGGACACACGCTGCTATGATGGTGTATAAAAACTATTTTCAATGTTTGAATGCTCTACTGTTTGATAGTTTAAGATTAACAATATTCTGTATTTAACATACAATTACGTGTGCACTCAGGACGAGTAAAAAATGCCCTATTTTTTGTACTATTATCTTTCTATGAAGAGATATAAGATGCACACATCAATCTACTTGCTCATGCAGCTTGACCAACTTATTTCCTTGCCATATATGCATAAAGTTTTCAGAAGAAAACATATTTTACCATGAGTAGTGGTTGATTTAAAAAGTCCTCATGCAAACACCCCCACCTTTTGGCAAAAGCTCATATCTATTCTGAATACATACTCTTTAATTATTTTACTTGAAAAGAACCAAGAAAAGAGAGATGCTGCACTATCGCAGTGATGATCTGTCACAAACTTGCCGTCACATGAAAGTGAATTTCTTATACTGAGTAGGTCCATATAAAAATACAGCGATGCAAAACGAAAACAAGAGGTGACAGAATGATGGACAAAAATTCTGGCTTCTTGTTGCAACCTGTCAACTGTAAAGGGATCACGGAGCAAATTATTCTCAATTGGTGGTCGTTAATCACTGGTTTGTTTGAACTAATAGGGGTCATTTAAATACAGTGGTGTACAACACTATAAATTTCATTATGCAAGCTGCACACCTTTAAATCTCTCTCTTTTAATTTCTGTATCTACAGACGAGGATGATGCCTTAGGGGTGACCTTCATAGAGAATGGGACAGTGACAGCCTTTGTGGTGCCAGAAGGTAAGTGTGTGGAGCAGACAGCTTTGCGAAGTTGAAGGGCCTGAAGTGCATCTGCAAGCTCAATGATGGCCTGCCTTGCAACAGCCAGTTCGAATCAACTGCTTTTGATGACCTGCGTTTGTCTTTTGCTGGTATGACACGAGAGGAGCATAATATTTTTTGACGCGTTTTTACGTAATTCAATGATTTACTGTTGTAACATAAAAACAGTCATAACTTCACATAGAAGAGAGGTATTTCACTAAAGTAAAAAGCAAACTGTCCACAAATGGCACCTCTAGGCTGTGGTATCAGCATTATTTGCTTCTATGCATTGTCATCATGGAAAATGTGTTCCCAAAGTAAGCAAAACTTTAAAACCTGTTTTCTCAAAATTTGACACTCAAACCCCTGTTCGCTTTAAAATGCCATAACTTTTCACAGAATGCTCAAATTGCTTTCAAATAAAGTGCAAAATGCTCGGAAAAGATGTGTCTTTTAAAATATGCAAAAAAGTTCTTTTGAAATTTTGCACCTTGTGAAGGGTTTTCTCAGAGCCACACACATATCTTTGCAGACATTAAACTCTGCACTACATCAGTTGTTTTTCCTTTCTCTACCTTTCCCAAAGAGTATCAGATGATACAATATTACACTTGCACAACAACAGTTGTCTTTTCTTTCCTTCTCTTTCCTATTCACCCGAGAATGTAAACGATATAATCTCACACATACACATCAACAGTTGTTTTCTTTAACTATCTCTTTTCCCTTCACATGAGAACGTTAGATGAGACAAAATCTTACACTCACACAACAACAGTTGTCTTCTCTTTCTTTCGCTTTTCCCTTTACCTGAGAGTGTAAATAATGCAATCTTACACTTGCACATCAACAGTTGCTTTCTTTTTCTTCATTTTTTTTCCTTCATAGGAAAATGTAAGTTAATACAATCTTACACATACACATCAACAGTTGTCTTCTATTTTTTTCTCTTTTCCCCTTTTTTGAGAATGTAAGATGAGATATTCTTACACCCGCACACAGAATAACACGTCTTCTCTTTTTCTCTTTTCCCTTACCTGTGAGTGAAATAATACAATCTTACATCGGCACATCAATAGTTTGCCTTCTCTTTCTTTCTCTTTTTCCTTCATTGAGTAATGTAAGATGAGACAGTTTAACACATCCCATCATCAGAAGTTCACTACTTCAGAATCACAAAGTTCTATCTGCTCAGTACCTAGTTTTGAGAAATTCGACGTAAAAATTATGAGTTTCACATCATGTCAAGCTTTTTCGAATGCAGATCTTTGAATATCTTGATAGCAACTCCAAATAATCTTGCTATCTTGATAAACCAGACAAAACATTTGCTTTCTGACCTCATGGTCCTAGTAATTCAAAACGGCCAAAAATGTCGAACAGAACTTTGTAATTCTGAGGTAGCGAGTTGTCCTCTCTTTCAATCTTTCGCTTATCGTTTTACCTGCGAGTGTCCAGCAGTGGTGACCAGAGTGCCGGAGCTGCTGGTGGAGTGGCTGCTGATGCTGTGTGTGTCGCTGGGCTTCCCGCCGCCCCCACCACCGCCCTGAGAGACGTAGAAGGAGCGTTGCGAGTGGTTGGGTGGGGAGGGGACGGCCGCTGGCACCGCTGACGGGGCGCTCGGGTACCGCATCTGCACTATCCGCTGACAGGCTGGAAAGAGGTTCAATGAATTTTAGAACATCATTTTTTTATGGAGGGTGGGGGAGAAATTTTGTTTGAGTTCAAAGAAAAGCACATTGACACAATAATGGTAACTTAGAACAGGGAAAGAGTAAGATGAGACAGACAATGTTTCATCGAACAAAGAGAAGCATATGAACACAATAACAATAGAAGACTACAGGGGAAAAACAACAGTAGTCACAAACTGAAAATTGTGAGGGTAACAGTTTTGAACTCTTGTTGACTCATAACTGTATTTCTGTTCAACTGTTGGTTGATTATTGTTTTTAGATTTGCAATTCAACAACATTTAATAATAAACCACCAGTCAAACAAATATAAAGTTACGAGTTCACAAGCTTTTAAAATTGGCACTCTCACAATTTTAAGTTTGTGACTACCATCCTTTTCCCCCCTCTGTGCTCTTCAATTATTTTGAGCAGGGAAAAAGAAAGACAGACAGACAGACAGACAGAAACAATGAAGGGAAAGAGAAGAAATAAAACCTACTAGTTTCACACCATGGTCCTTGAGCTACCCATATTTTTTTTTTACAAATACAGATACAGGTTCAGCATTCTTGGAGCAGCAAAGAGATAGCACAGCTGCACCTACTAACCATCCAGGTATTTTGCTCAGCGGTGAGGACATAGCAGAAAGAAAATATCATCAGGCACAGTTGACGGCACACCCTTTAGGTGGTTGGCCATTTGTGTATTTACTTTTAACACTTGAGTGTGGGCTTTAACGAGACATAGCACAACTCTTGTTCAAAACCAAGGTACTGGACAGTGTCTTTACAATTCTTTAATTCTGTATGGGAATGTGTATTAAATGATGGTGATGTAATAACAATAATAATAATATTAATAATAATAACAACAACATCAACAATAATAACAATAACAATCATAATAGTTCATCTGCCAGAGTCGGACAATGACCAATTCATCTGCAGACGACAGTATTTATTAAGTGAAATTGAAAACACTCAAGTTCAGATGACTTGTGGCTTTTGCTTTGGCAAATAAGACCAATTGTGGCAGAGAAGTTTGCCACATTTTTTAGTAGCTAAAATCTTAACTTCCCCATGACCAGCATCTGTGGCGATTAGGCACATTGCTGTCGGAAGCAGGAGACCAGAGTTCAAGTCCTGAGTGGGGAGAAATTTTAATTGAGTATCTCTGTTCTTCTGCTGGGTTCTCTTAGCCCGGGTTCGCCCTAAAAGGCAAGGCTTGGAGGCCCGCCTCCTAAATCATCTAGATTGTGTAGATAAGGGCATTAAAAACACCCACAGTTTAAACATGGCTTCAAGAAAAGATTATTATAATTGATACCTATGATTTTGACTTCCTAATTGAAAATATAATGATAAATATGAGTAAACTTTTCCTCAGTGAAAGGGTATTGATAGTTATCTCCACAACTATTTGTCCTAAGACGTAAGACAACAGGGAGCACGAGACACAGGAGCCACTCACCGTCCTGGAAAACTCTCTCCACGTTCAGCCCATACGTGGCACAGGTCTCGTAGTAGGAACACCGCTTGAGATCGTTGGCCAGCTTCCTGGCCCGTGTGTCGTCGATAATGCGGGGATTGCTCTCACTGATGGCATCTGCAGATATAATAATAAAGATTATAATGATAATAACATCAATAATTTTTAAAAATAGTCAAATGAAGGGCATTTGTATGGCACATATCCCTGTTTAACAGCAAGCCTTATGCGCTTTACACTATATTATTAACTCAGCAGACTCTAGAACACTCGGAAACATTCTTGTCTTCCAGGGACGCATAACGATAATATATAACAAATGACATTTATATAACGCTCAGTTCCGATTAAAGTACACAGACTCAGAGCAAGCAGTCGATTAAGCTCTCAAACACCAACAAACTGATAAAATCTTTCGCTGTCTAGTAGTAGTAGTATAAGGTTTTACGGCGCTCGCAACTGCTAAGGTCATATGAGCGCGTTTCGCTGTCTATAGCCAGATACCCAATGCCACCTGCAGGAAGTGAGGAAAATTCATGTTAAGTGCCTTTCCCAAGGACCCAACATTGACCTACTGATGAACATCTAGGGGTAGGAAAACGCAAGACAGACAGACAGACAGTTTAGTTTTAGTAAGAGTTTTTCGGCACTTGCAACATAATAAGGTCATAAAAGTGCCGAAGATTAAAGGTGTTACAAGAGAGTAACAAACACAAAAAAGAAGGAGGGGAGATAGAGACGATAGAGTTTTTATAGGAAAGAAGGAGCAAACCACATCAGAACATCCACCAACCATCCACAGACAGACAGACAGACAGACAGACAGACAGACAGACAGACAGACAGACAGACAGACAGACAGACAGACAGACAGACAGACAGACAGAAATAAGAAATAGACAAGCTGCACCTTCCAACAACCCATGTCTCATCAAGAGCAGATTAAGATGAACTAAACACTGAACGGGTCGCATTAAATGCCAACATTATGGGCCGAGAGAACAAAAAAAACAGCTGCAAAACAAGTAAAGAACAAAATTCTTGTTCCAAGTTAATGTTTCGTTTGAGTAAGGAGAAGAACATTAAGACAGTAACGGTATTTTAGTGCAGGGGAAAAAAACAAGAAAGAGAGACAAAAACAAAAGAGGGGAAAGAAAAGAAGTAAGACATGCCAGTGGTGCTTTCCAACCACCCGCTGCCAGTTAATGCTCAACTGTAAATTTTGCCAAGTCAGCACATTATCTGGCACATTTCTCTTCTGAGTAAAGAGAAAAATGTCCACACAAAGGCCACTTAGTGCAGAGAAAAAGCAAGAAAGACAGACAGACAGCATAGGAGTCAAGAAAAAACACTGGACCTATGACATGTACCATTGGCACACTCCAATCATCTACACAAAATTTTCCAAGACTAGATCAAGACAATAGTATCAGAAAGAAAGTTAAAGAGTAGTAGTAGTATAGGGTTTTACGGCGCTCGCTACTGCGTAAGGTCATATGAGCGTGCAAAGTTAAAGAAACAGACTACAAAAACTTGTTTGCAACCACCCATATGGCCAGACCAAAAACACCCTTACGGACAGCTTATACACGGTACTAAACAATCAACACCAAAATGACCTTGTGCACAAAAACGGATTGCTTTTGTTTTTTTTAAGTTTAAGAGAAGACATTGAAGGGACAGCTTTCATTTTTTGTTTGAGCAACAGATCAGCATATTGAAACAGCAAAGTGTCATTCAGCGTATCGTTTGTTTGTTTGGGTAAAGAGAGGCACAACGGCTTTGCAATGGTCATTTTGTGCTGGGAAAAAGTAAGACAGACAGAAACAACAGAGGTGAAAGTAAAGAAGAAGGGCTTACCAGTGGCACCCTCCGACCACCCGCTCATTCAGTGTAGTGAAAAAAAAAACACACCAAGAAAACAGACAGAAAAAAACAAGAGGGGAAGTAAAAAAAGTAGGATCTACCAATAAAGACAAGACCGATGGAAAAAGAAACTACGGATGAACATGAAAGAAGTAAGACCTACCAGTGTCGCCTACAAGGACCAGGAAGAAGAGGGGACGAGGAGGGAAGAAGGCAGGAGAGGGCACAGTTAAGTACACAGAGACCCCTGGTGTGTTCCAAACCTAAACTGACAGAACTTTGCATAAACTTGAGGAGGCGGACTTCCTATAGCACGGCAGGTACCCACTGGGATAACTTATTAGGGATGTCAGGAGGGAGGGAGGGAGGGGGAGAGTGAGTGACAGAAGGGGAGAGTAGAAACTGAACGGAGAGAGGGCGGAGGGAGGGAG